GGTTATACAAATATTCATTGTTAGATGAGATTTTGATTTCGCACGTCTACAGGAAGTTGCCTAAAGGTCTCAAGGAGTGGCCGGCATTTTTCGCTCTGAAAAAGACCATCGACGATTTCAACGACATGTGCCCTCTGTTGGAGTTGATGGCGAATAGGGCGATGAAGCCAAGACATTGGCAGCGGATCATGGATTCGCTCAATCACATCTTTGAATTCGAGAGCGAGGGGTTCTGCCTGAAGAATATCTTGGAAGCGCCGCTATTGCAACATAAGGAAGATATCGAGGTGAATTTCAATATCCTTTCGTAGATCAAAATAAGTCAAATGAACGAAGTTTCGTTTTGGATCATATTGAATAATCTAAGAATGATATTTTGCCTAGTTATATGCAACATACAAGTTTATTTGAATGTGTGGAATCCAGGAAGATTTTTCCAGGATATTTGTATTTCTGCCATGAAAGAGAAGGATATTGAAGCAAAACTTCGACAAGTTACCAACGAATGGACAGTCCATGAATTGACGTTCATGACTTTCAATAACAGGGGAGAATTATTGCTGAGAGGAGATACGACAGCAGAAACAATTGGTCAGCTCGAAGACAGTCTGATGATCTTGGGATCTTTGCTATCTAACAGGTAACATTTAACGTCAATATTCAACATTTTGGTATCAGGATGCAACTATTTTCAATTCTTGAAGGAGAAAAACGTTACCATCGCAAATAACCCACCAACGCTACCGCTATGTTAGGGCTCATGCTCAGATTCCTATTATTCACAATAAATGTATCCCCCTCTGTCTCATTTATTCTCAAACCAATTTCGAAATTCTCATTAACATCTCGAAACTCATTATATATGATTTCTCATCTTTTTTCGCTACATCCGGGAATACAGGGTGTTCGGAACTAACGATCTACAGGGTACTAGTTGATTTTTTCAAATATGACACCCAGTATTTAATTTCACGATCAGTTAGATATTCCAAGAATGAATCCGACAACAGGATATGATTGGGTTATATCAAACTATAAAGATATAGCCGATATTCGGGTTATTTTTTTTTTAGTACCCTGTAGATCGTTCGTTCCAAGTACCCTTCATCTTCTGATGTAGCAAGAAAATTATTGAAAATCATCTCAAACAATTTTTTTGATTTTGAAATTGGTCCAAAAATGACTGAGCTAGAAGGAGGGGGACATTTATGTTCAAACACCCGGTACTATACTGATCATGTTCCCGAAAATGATTGAATAACAATTTGTTTTCAATATTTCAATGTCACATAGTAGTCGTATTTTTCCTAACTTTTTCACCTCTCTCATAGATATAATGCACCATTCAAGAAGCAAATCCAGCAGTGGGTGCACGACCTGTCCAACACTAACGAGATCCTGGAGAGATGGCTTTTGGTCCAGAACATGTGGGTATACCTGGAAGCGGTATTCGTAGGGGGCGACATCGCCAAACAACTGCCAAAAGAGGCTAAACGCTTCTCAAAAATCGACAAGTCTTGGCAGAAAATCATGCAAAGGGCGCACGAAACTCCCGGAGTTGTCGCCTGCTGTGTCGGCAAGTATTTATCCCCCAGATGAATTCATTCCTCCAGAATGTTTTTTATTTTCAGGTGATGATCTCTTGAAACAGCTCCTTCCCCACCTACAAGAACAACTTGAACTCTGCCAGAAATCGCTGAGCGGCTATCTGGAACGCAAACGAATGATGTTTCCAAGATTCTTCTTCGTGTCTGATCCAGCTCTTCTCGAGATTCTCGGTCAAGCTTCAGACTCTCACACCATCCAGAACCATCTGCTGTCCATATTCGATAATACCAGATGGGTCAAATTTCACGACATAGAGTACAACAAGGTAACGAAAAGTTAGCGTAGTTGTATCATGGTTGTTCATCATTTATGTAAATTACCTTTTCCCAAAAGGATGTGTTGCTTTCACGGATGACACAACTCTCACAAGCTCGTGTAAAAATAGGTCAGAACTAATGAACAATATAAAAACTGGCACAAGAAAAAGCCGAAACCTGATTCATATTAAACAACCTAAAACTAAACAAGAATAAAACACAACATATCCTATTCACTTCTGATACTCAGGAAGCTAATGGCAATAGTGTGAAACTGCTTGACATCACATTGGATGATGAACTAAATTGGTCAACTTACACGGAGCAGCTGTGTGTAAATTCATCAAAATAGATATTTCTACTACAGACATTGAGAACTATTATCAGTACACATGCCCTATTAGAGGCATATTATGCATTCTTTCATATTCACGCATCTCCTATGGGGAAATAGTGGGCACGTCAAAGATATGTATATTGGTTACAAAAAAAGTCAATATCAATCATGGCAGGAATAGGCTAGCTGACTATTGCAGACCTCATTATCTACTCTCTTCACTAAGAGTCATGATGGTACCCTCGATTTATATTTTTCAGTCAATTTTCGAGATACATTAGAATTTGAATAATTATGACAAAACTGCCAACTTCCATGATTACAATATCAGAGACAGGCAATTAATGAGACTAGTTGAATTCAGACTGCAATAATCCAACAAAAATTTTCTTGATGTGAATTTAAAATGTCCTACCTTCCGATGTAGAGGATTTGGACTCCAACAGTTTCAAAAAACACATGCGATCTTATCTAATCTTGAATATGTTCTACACAATAGGGGAACACATAGCTGCCCTAATTTCTAGAAATAAATGATGCTGATTCTTGATAGCTAACTTGTAATTATAATTTTCTATTTTTATATATTCTTTGGACATGTCTGTCAGTTCCCACTGTGAACACGGAGAAAAAAAAATCACTAACCCTAAGTGAATATTTAATAGTGGCAAGTAAAAACTTGTATACTATATGGGACAAGGAAACAAGTTAATAACCACAAGAATATTTGTGTTCCTGAAAATGTACACCTACCACTATTGACCAGTTCCATTGAATTTCAGATTGATAACGGTTAGTGAACACATCACTTGTCATCAGTGACCTATTCCATTGTCATTAGCAACTCATTCACTTTTCATTAATGACTTGTTCACTAGTCATTAGTGGCCTAATTACATGTCATTAGTGACTTATCTACTAGTCATCAGTGACTTATTTACTTGTCAATAGTGACTTATTCACTTGTCATTAGCTAGTATGGAAAAATACCTCCATTGTTCTCTGAAAAATGATAAAACCTTGGTAATGAGACAAAAACACATGCATTCAAAACATTTTATTATATAGGTATGATGAATCCAGAAAATACAAAAAAGGTAAGGCTGACGACAAATATTGAGATACTAGATACCTCGTATATCAGTATCATGCACCGAGAAAAACGGTACTCTCACTCACTGCACTGCACTCTGGTTCACTATCATTTTCCTTCCAGCATTGAAGATGAATCAACTTTCATACTTTTTAAACGTCACTTCCTTCCACTTCGAGTATCATAGGAAGTGGAAAAAAATCCTGTATATATGTAGAAACAATTATGTACTGTTCTAGAAGAGTTTTGTATTTCATTATCTCCTTCAAGAGAACAGATCAAGAACTCAACACCCCACAGCTCAGAGCGCGGCACACAAACAGAGAATTCTCATACGAATATGATATAGTAGTTGTTCGAAAGGGCACTTGCATGACTTGGAATTTCAATGTTACTAGCGGGAACGCAAGTATACTAACTTCACGAATGCTAAGATCGAAATGACGCCGTGGACTCGTGGACACTGGACAGTGATCGCGTTGGGCGTGGGTACTCGAATAATATCGGAGATGTCCGAACGGAAAAGAGATCTATAACTACAGGTGAGCTGTCACCTGCAACAATCGACTTAATAGATTGTCTTTATGGATGAGTTCGCTCAGAGCAAGTGATCTTGTCAGAAAAATAATTTAATAATAGTGAGTATTCGTTAACCTATCACTAGTCTAGTGTTCACTTAGAATCAGCGAACTCTAAGTACATATCGACTTGGTTGATACGAACAAGTGTTCTGATCACTTACAGCAGAAACTTCTTTCCAGAAATATAGTTTTGCCTACTGCAAGTACCATATTTTCCTACTGTTGGTGAAAATGTTCTTGTCACAATCGACTTTTTTTCAAGAAAACAATTTACTTGGCCGAGTTTTCTCAGTGAATTCATGTGGTTGTGCTGTGTTGTTCACTTTCTGTTTTCACCCCAGTATATCTATATTTACCTACTATTTTATAGCCACTTGATTAGGGTTAGTAACTTATTCATACAATGGCTTATCTTATTTGTATTCTCGATAGATTTGAAATACCATTAAACTTTCTATCTATTATATTCCTTGTAGGCGATAAGAACATAGGGTGTTGGTTGAAAATTCTCATCTTAATAATTGATTGAATTAATACTCAGACTATTTTTCCGGCCCGGCTTCGCGCGGTTGGTGTACCCATTTGAAAAAAATACATTTGTTGCAGTTGTTCTGAGCTCTGCGCGTATCTACAGTACACATTTTTCATTTTCTTCCTTGATTTTTTGAGCTTACCATAGCTACTATTATAAACTTACACTCATTTCCATCCACTCAGTATCTTTTGTATTTTTGTTGATGTTCGACCTATCAAAATTCCCAACCCAATCGGTCAAGCCGTCTAGTAGTTGACGTACCAACAGCAGCGCCACCTACCGCGATCAATTGCAGTGTTTTCCCTACGCTAGCAAGACTATCAGGTTTTTTGAAACACCCTGTATACAAAATACTGGGAATCAGGATTGTCTCTATCTATATCAATCCACTCCTCATTCTTGGATTGACTCTCACTAATTCATTTTTTTTTACTATTATGACTAGATAACGGCGATCATTTCATCAGAAGGAGAAATCATTTTGCTAGAGAAAGCTGTGAGAGCCGAGGGAAGTGTGGAGACTTGGTTAACACAACTGTTGGTCACTGCTCAGGCTTCTCTGCATTCGATAATAAGACAGTCTTATATCATGATCAACGATGCGAATTTTCACCTCCTCCAGTTCTTGGACAAAATGCCAGCACAGGTGAGAGAATACAATGTATCAATTCAATCAGTTTACATAAAATGATATCAGATTGAGGAAAGCTCGACTATAAAACTAGAGCTCACTCTTTTTGAATGATGTAGTGATATGACTCAACACGTTCTATGATGTTATTCTTCAGGTAGGCCTCTTAGGTCTTCAGATGATATGGACCAGAGACGCTGAGCTGGCCCTGATGCAGGCAAGACACGACAAAAAGGTGATGCCAGACACCAATAACAAGTTCCTGGAACTGCTCAATACGCTCATAGATCAGACTACGAGAGACCTTACCAAGATCGAGCGAACCAAATTCGAAACCCTCATCACGATCCATGTCCACCAGAGGGATATTTTCGATATTTTGGTGAGTACCTACTGAGGGACATCTCCTCAAAAAACACACGCAGGAAAAAGATTGGTAGAAATGACTAGAATCGCTGTATATCTAAATACGAAAACAGGTACAAACTTTTGCCGTAATGAATTTCACTATATGAATACGTTGAAATAACCTAATTATCTGTTATTATGCATCGTAGTAAAACTAAATGCGAGAAGTTGAAAACAATCAACACAGCATCGTGGTTAACCTTTACCTCAACAGAGGAGGTATTTGATACCTACTATGACCAGCTAGTATATCTCATTTTGTGATCTTCACCAATCCAGCTATTGATTCAGAGTGCTGCATTGATTACCATAGGTGATAGTGAAGCATATGTCATATCTAGATTGCAGTACCATTGGAATTTATTTCAATAAGATTACATTTATGTTGAATATCAATTTCGAAGTATTCCATTTGGCGATCTTTGATTGTCTTCTACATTTTTTGAGGTCAGCTCTTTCACATCAACTGGATGTCATAACTATCCTGAAAGATTGGAAAACTGATGCTATATATTTGCGTATATGTCTATAGATTTTTCACCTCGTTCCTGAAATTATTGATGAATTTGGAGTTTATTCAAACCATAATCCAACAAATGCCTAAATATATCATATGAATAATCCGTTTCTCAACTCGAATTCCAACCCTTGTAATAAAAATTATAATTCTTTTGATACAATAAATGATCTATCTATATGGTGGAAGACTGCCTATTGAAATTAGTGTTGCCCGCGAGAGTCTCGTTTTCGAGAGTCTCGAACAAGACGAGACGAGACTTTCATTGGTCTCATCTCGAGTCTCGTGCAAGACTTCTCGTGTCTCGTGCGAGAGTCTCGCAGGTAAATATTTCTGCGTGCCGACTGCAGACTTGAGAATTTCATTCATAATAAATCATATTTAGAAAGAATTCAGACCATTTAGCACAGGTAGACAAAACATTTCATTTATAAATACTTAAAAAGCACAATCCATGATCTCTTATGGCGGCGGAAAATAAAGGCAATTCTTAACTTACTACCTGAAAATCTATAAATAAGTCATTCTGTGCTGAATAGTCTAAGTTAAAGAATAACTTTGTTTTGACGGGAGTATAGATGCAGGAGCTTCAAAAATATCATTCTGTGCCTCGGTGTAATAAAAATACAGATATATTGCAATGGTGGAAAATTCATGCTTCTAAATTTCCCATTCTAAGTTTGATGGCACGAGATCTCTTAAGCATACCGGCTACTTCAGTTTTCTTGTTTAGATGTATGATGTAAGTATGTACCTATGAGGTACTTACTTTTCAATAAATAATGTTATTTTTGTTGTAATTTTGTCTTCCTACTTCTACATTATACCTAGAAAGAAGGTAAAGGTAAATATCCCCTACTAGACTGAAACAAAATTATGCTTGACAAAATCGCGATACATCTGCGAGACTCTCGTACGAGACGCGAGACAAGACGAGACTGGAGGCTGCGATACGAGACAATACTTCATATTTCATCGGCGAGACGAGACGAGACTTCGTGAAAGTCACGTCTCGTTGGTCTCGTGTGAATCACTAATTGAAATTACCTACCTTTTCTTTCATATAATGGTCTTTTATTTTCATTCCCCGATGTCTGAAATTTTTAACCACATCTTGAAGTTTAGGTTCACTATTGGAGAGGTGAAGCACCACGAATTTCTAAATGCGAAATTTTGGTGAATTCCTCTGCCGGATTTTTCTGAGTGCATGCCTAGCGTTATCTTCACCTTTTTTAGTGTCGACTGAATGTGAGACACGTCAACGACTTTGAATGGTTGAAACAATGTCGATTCTATTTCAAAGAGGAACAAGACAAGACACTGATAGCGATTACCGATGTGAATTTTTCCTACCAGAACGAGTATTTAGGCTGTACGGATAGACTGGTGATAACTCCATTGACTGATAGGTACAGAAACATTACAAGCCAAACGTTTGTTGGAAGTGAAAGTAACATCGTTGTTTCAGATGTTACATAACGCTTGCGCAGGCGCTATCGATGAGCATGGGTGGCGCCCCCTGTGGCCCAGCGGGTACCGGCAAAACTGAAACAGTCAAAGATATGGGGAAAACTTTGGCCAAGTACGTGGTAGTGTTCAATTGCTCTGATCAGATGGACTATCGTGGTCTCGGACGAATTTATAAAGGTACATTCAATGTTATTTTGTTTCATCACTTCGAAGAATATTTCTGTATAGGTACTATGTTGATGTCGGTGTTCAGAAAACCGCGAACAGTGTACATATAGTTGACAGTGATAGGGCAAAGCTTAACATGATGAAAAACTATAGTCTTTTGAATTAGTTTTGGTTTGTCACATTGGCATTGGCATACTGGATCCGCCATCTTGAATTTCCTAATTTCAACCATGGAATCATCATCTACGGATGAAAGAATCATAATCTCCGACCCCAAGAACCCCATGCACATACCAATTTTGAATAGAATCGGATCATAATTACGGAACTCGTCCGCCTTATTGATTCCTATATCTTGAATTACCAAATTTTCATGAAAGAATCATAATCTCCGACCCCGAAAACCTCTAGATACCAATTTTGAATCGAATCGAAACATAACTACAAAATTTGATCGCCATATTGTATTTGCAATCTTCAATTTGCAAATTTTGATGGAATCATCATAATCTCCGACCCCAAAAATCCCCAGATACCAATTTTGAATAAAATCGGAACATACCTATAAACTCTTTCGCCATATCGGTTCCACCATTTCCAATTTCCTAATTTCGATGGAAGAATCATATTTTCTGACCCAGAAAACCTTCGGATACTAATTTTGAATAGATTCTGATCATAAATACAAAACTCGTCCGCCATATTCGTCCCTTATTGCCCCCTCATGCGGACGCCCCTGTATAATATTGACAATTCAGAAAATATCTGGCCGAGAGCTAACATCTTCAGAATAGAAAGAAACTAATGGCCTCTACAGTAAATGCCTCCACAGTATTTTTTTCAATTGATCACTTCGAAAAAAGAAAAAAAGAAGGTGGAGAATACGGAATTCAAACCCACGATCTTTGATCAAACAAGCACGCACCTCACTCAATCGGCCATCAAGTGTAGGTATGTACACTCGTCTTCAGTGAACGTGTCGCGGTTGGACGATATGAGCGCTCTTATTGCAGCGGTGATTAACAGAGCTGACACCGTCCAAGTGCGACATGTTCTCTGAAGACGAGTGTACATGACAGATTTATAGGAGAATGAAAATCCTGACACACGGATTGTTTTCTTGGCTCCGTGAAAAATATGTTTAATATTCAATAGATCTAAGGATATGTATAATAAATTTCATGATAATCGGTTATGTAGTTTTGGCGTGAAAGCTCGACAATAGTAGTTATCTATGCAACAAGTGCAAAAAGTGAATTGCAATAAACAATTTTTGCACGAGTTGCATACAACATTTTTTCTACGTTCATGCAAAAAGCAAAAAATGATATATTGAGGTGCAGCACTAGTTGTAGGAAAATGAAAAACGAAACTTGAATACTATTATTATTAATATCGATTTGCATTGAAACAGGAACTAATACGTTACGAACAATTTAACTCAAACTTTATTTATACCCTCAATGTTGAAAGTGAATGAACAATTGGTGCAATTTTCAATATGAATATAATTATGACGTTTCTATAACCACAGTTGCAATATAAAAAAATGTTTGTCATGATGACAGCACGTTGAAGTAGAATGACAGATGAAGTGCAATAAAGAACTTCCTTTTCCACTAAATATAGTTCAATAAAGTTCTGCTTTTTGTATGAATGTAGAAAAACAAACTTACATTCACATTATTTTTAATATTAGTAGGGAAATGTAGCAACATTTATTCCGTGATGTATGTGAAGTGAATAATTGTTCGTTGAATTTTTTTTAGGTCTTGCACAATCAGGAGCTTGGGGCTGTTTCGACGAGTTCAACCGCATTGAATTGCCAGTGTTGTCGGTCGCCGCTCAACAGGTGGCCGTAGTTTTGGCAAGCAAGAAAGAGAAGAAGAAAAGTTTTCAGTTCACCGATGGCGACATCATCGAAATGTGTCCCGAATTTGGAATATTCATAACCATGGTAATGAATCACCCATGTAATTTTAGCCGAATATCTAGTACCAAGTCTTGCAAATATCCCGATTATCTCTCAATTTCTTCATGAGAAATTATTTCGTCTGTTTACTTGTCAAAACTGAGAAAACATACCAACAATTTCTAACGAGAATAACAATGTTGAAAAATGTTTTTCAGAACCCGGGATATGCTGGAAGGAAAGAATTACCTGAAAACTTGAAGATTCAGTTCAGAACCGTTGCCATGATGGTTCCGGATCGTCAGATCATCATACGTGTGAAGTTGGCTAGCTGTGGTTTCTTGGAGAACATTACCCTGGCCAGGAAATTTTATACATTATACAAACTGTGTGAAGAGCAACTGACCAAACAAGTAAGATACACGGTGTTAAGTTCAAAACTTCACATCCTTAATGTGTTTCTTTCATCAAATAATATGGGGATTTTAAAAAACAGGTCGATACGATCTTCAAGGAGGACACTCTAAATGAATATTTTTGGCCTTGATATTCCAACCCCCTAGAAGGGATGAATGTTCCAAATATTATCTCGAATGAGAATGGAGGTCGAGTGGCATATCATTTTGGAGGTTGTTCAATTCCCTATCCAACGACACCACATTTCATTATTTTTGATGGAAGAGTTCCGAAAAAAAAACGTTGCAAACTTACAGAAATAATTAGAGCTTGCCTGCACTGAGATACATGATGATGATGAAATATTGTATTGACTCTCCATTCAGTTAGAAGATTAGATAGCGCCTATTCAACTCTTCACCGGAAGCATCCTTCAATGGCAGCGATTGCAACAAAAAAACGGAGTTTTTCAAAGTAGAGGTAGTGAAATTTCAGCGATAGAAATTGAACATTCTATTGAAAACGCAAATAGATTTTTTTATCGCTTGGTGCGCACGAAAGGGAATCTCTATAATGTTCTAAGAACATCTCGCGTACCTCTAGCGAGTACAGGGAAGAGAGGTAGGTGTTGGATTGTTATTTGAACTCTTGGAGATTATAAATCCTTGGAAATACTTCCTCAGGCAAAGAATTCCAGAGCTTTCCCGTTCTATAGAGAAATGAGTTTTGATATAGTGCTGTTCGACATATTTTGAGGTTGGCTGGTATTGCTTGTCGTGGAATGTATGGAAGTATCTATAAAAAAGTGAAAGGTCGCGGACCATTTTACCGTGTTCCAATGATGTCAAAGTGAGTATGACATCACACACCTGGCGACTGTCTCTTCTCTGAATGGAATCTCAGAGCATCAGAGTATGTTTGAGTGCTGAACTCCATTTGTGAAAACAGTATTTTAGAACAGGTCGTACTTATTGATTTCAAATTCTGGAGCTTATGGCTGATGTTGTTCCTGATGAAGAGTTGACAAGGTGCCACCAAATCTTTCAACTATTTTCACTGAATGGAGAATACGACAATTTTTGTTTTAATAATATCCTGTGCAGGCGAATTCTAATTATTTCTCTCAGTTCTGAAGGGTCTTTCTCGGCAGTTGCTCATCAAAATACTAAAATAAGGTACCGTGGAAGAAAAACACGAAAGTTCCAAGTAGGCAATTTTTCATCCTTTTCGAAGCCAAACTTGACGCCGGAGAGAAATTCGAAATACAACATGATATCAACTTCGTGAAAGACTGTGTGAAATGACAATTATCTATACACCAAGGTAACTATTAGGGACCAAAATTATATTTCAATGTGCTAGCCGAGGGGTATGAGGTCACGTGGTAATAGTCTAATTCACTACTTACTAGCAATGTATTTCAATCATTATAGTTCTGTGAAATATGGACGTACTGGCACTATGAACACACTTCTTCAAATTTAAATTGAGATCTGATAGCCATGACTATGACAACATAATATGAAAAGTCGTTATCGATAAATACTCAACTAGATTCGAATGCCATTCCTGCGAATCTCACATCAAACATTTAACTCAGATCAATTTTATAACAGAGATGGCTATGTCTTCATTGACTAGTAGTTTATGATATGACGAAAACTGCCGTAGTAGAAAAAATTCACTCTACGCCTTGAAACGGAGTAAATAATGGTAGGTTTCATGTTAGTGGTGGTAAATGCGTGTTTTTTTTAATTTTCAAACTATTATTTATATTCAATATGAGAGTTCGATTCAATTGGTTTTAATTCAACGACGGAATGATTTCGTGACCAGTACGAGCAGGAAAAAAACTGGATATATTTCAAATCGAATTGTCTGAAAGAATATCTCCTATTATTGGAGTCCCAAGCTCGATAAAAATTTTGCAAATATAATTCTATATTCCCATATGCTCAGTTATATTAACTATTTGATAAATGTTTGGAAAAACTGTCAAAAAACAATTTCAATAAAATATCTGCATTATATAAAAAGATAATAAAAGTACCATATGACACACCAACAAATCAATTATATGAAATATCTGAATCATTCTCATTGAAGGAAATGTTCAAAATTGAAAATATAAAAATTACATACAATTTCATAAATGCAAGATTGAAATCTGTTTCATTTTAACACGAAACAATGAAATTCATGATTACCAAACTAGACAACATGGTTCATTTTATCTTGATATCGATAATTCTTCTATACGCCAAAAAGATTCACCCACGCTGCTCTTCTCAAATAGGTATAACAAATTACCAGAAGGTATGAAAAATTTCAGAAATACAATTAAATTCAAACACGAACTCATTTCTGAACAAAAAGATGATTTTTTTCCATTTTCGAATTGATTGTTGCTCACCAATGTGAAATAATTTGTCGAAATTTGAAACTCAATGTATTCAAATATTATATTATTCATGAGTTTATTATAATTGTATAGTTTTAGGTCTTATTGTTAACTATACTTCCTTATACCAGAACTCAATTCTGACTGGAAGTCACATTCTCAATGAATAATAATAAATAATAATTGATTTCAGGTGCACTACGATTTCGGCCTGAGGAACATCCTCTCGGTGCTTCGAAGCCTCGGCGCCGCCAAACGCGTCAACACCAAAGACACAGAGAGCACGATAGTGATGCGCGTGCTCCGTGACATGAACCTCTCCAAGCTCATCGACGAGGACGAGCCTCTCTTCATGTCGCTGGTGGCCGATCTCTTTCCCAACCAGGCGCTGGAGAAGACGGCTTATCCGGAGCTGGAGGACGCTATCGTAGCCCAGGTGGAGGAAGCGGGGCTGGTCAATCATCCCTCGTGGTCGCTCAAGTTGATTCAGGTGGGTTTTTTCGTAGGGTAACTCAAATTTTCCCCAATATGAGCAATAGAAACATTCAGATAAAATTGTAAGACTAACTCACCTTCAAAAATTATGGCACATATTTCTTGGACATTGTACAAGCTGTATTCGAAGGACGTCGAATAATACATGAACATCCAGTCATGTTATCGCCATGTGTTGGCATAGTTCTAAGGTAGGGGTAAGGTCATACACAGTAGGAAGCTGTCATCCATATAGTTAACACGGCTGATGAGGCCTGGTGGGCCGAAACAGTACAGTATCGCTCCTGCTGATAATCTGTTCATCCTAGATCTCTTTTTTTTCATATTTTGGAACACACTGGAGGTGATTCCAATGATGAATACGAAAAGCTCAAAGTAATTTCCACACAATGTCCATGAAATGAATGGTAGATTCCATGAATTGAAAACAATAACTACTTTCCCGGATAATGCCAAGTAGGTCATTGAATTACATCCTCCCGGAATCTATGCATCGACTCGTAAAAACGAATACTGATTCAAGTATTTCTTTGTCTGTTAATTATGAGATCTAGTTCAAAGTAAATAAATGATATTTAATTACGTGAATAACCTACAGTATCATTTGTATCTTTTCTCGATTATTAGTTGTATGAGACTCAAAGAGTGAGACATGGAATAATGACCCTGGGGCCTACTGGAGCTGGCAAAACTACTTGCATCCAAACTTTGATGAAATCGCTTACCAAGATGGGAGATTTCCATAGGTAAAATAATAAAATTCTAGTTTTTCATTTTATTTCACATATTGCTGGTAGTTTGTTGAACATACGATAGCAATAATTGATATATTACCACACTTTAGGGAGATGAGAATGAATCCAAAATCCATAACAGCCGCACAAATGTTCGGACGTCTAGATGTTGCTACAAACGATTGGACAGATGGTATTTTTTCTGCTCTCTGGAGAAAAACATTGAAGCTGAAGCAAGGTGAGATACAATGAATTAAAAAACATCTTCTTCGATATTCTCAATTGACCATTCATGTAATAGAGAAACAATTGTAGGTATCAATAGTCATATAGGTACCCTCCATGTTCGCCTAGTTTCTAGTGTATGATGCGATTTTTCAATTGGTTTAGGTGAACACGTCTGGCTGGTTCTGGACGGTCCAGTTGACAGTATCTGGATAGAAAACCTCAACTCCGTATTGGACGATAACAAAACGCTCACCTTAGCCAATGGAGACAGACTATCTATGGCACCCACTTGCAAGGTACCTAAACATTTATGTATTTGAAGAGACATAGATGTTTTTCTATACCATGTTTGCTTGCAATACTATCGATAGTATTTCTGTCAAAAATCAACGAGATCCAAATGCTTGGTCCTTGGGATAAGGGGTGTTAGCCTAAAGCAATTTGATCGAGTTCAAGATTTCTGTCAGAATTTTCGATAGTGATACGAGTTGTGAGTAAGTATAAGTGAATAAATAAATGAGTAAGTATTTTATCAATCTCAACTGATGAAAATGTGATGATAGTTATTTTATTTACTCGTTTGGACAAAGAAGCTGCACCTAAGCTCTGGTTAGTGCTTGTTTTGTTCTATCTTATGCTATCCGAGCAATCCGAAATCTATAAATTCTTCATGATAAAGCATATAGTCTTTAGTAGATGAATATTAGTTATCATTGACTGATATTGTTGAATCTGAGAAGATGTACTTATGAGCACTATCATTTTTTATTATATTTGGAGTATATTATTGTGATGAATTGTGGTGGGCGAGTGATTATCATGTGTCTTTTTCCATCAATTGACAATAATTTCATTATTTCAAGTTTCAAAGTTCATTATTCCAAATTTTTTGGGATTTTCTCTACTCGTTTCTATTAAATAAAAATATGAATATTATTTCAATATACGTGTAGTAAGGACAAATCAGATGATTTGCCCCAAAATATCACTGCGTTTAGAGAATTTTCCTATCAGAGAGCCTAAAAGAAAAATTCACTAGCTTGTCATTGAATTTTTCTTTCAGGTTCTCTGATAGGAAAATTCTTTGAACGCAGTGACATTTTGGGGCAAATCATCTGATTTGTCCTTACTACACGTATATTGAAATAATATTCATATTTTTATTTTATAGAAACGAGGAGAGAAAATCCCAAAAAATTTGGAATAATGAATGTACCACTTCCTCGATTAACCTACAGACAGTATTTTTCAAAGTTCACTTGTCTGGGCCTCTGAAACAATTGTCTTTCAAATTAACAATAATTTCACTCAATCATATCTCTGTAGCTCATTACAAGAACAAGTTAGGTCCTATATGAATCCTTGTGGAATGTTTTTTGATTTATCAATTTTTTCTGCCACTTCTGATCCTATATTTATAAAATATTCAAAGAACGCATCTGATTTAAGTATATTCTCTCCATACTCGTTCATTATATTCATCTGTTTTTCTATCATTATTATTATTATATCCATCTTGCCAATTGATTTGATACTGGTATTACTTCATTCATTATGTCCCAAATTTTAAACAGTCACCAGCATTTTCAGTCAGTCTATTTTTGTAGTATTGATTCTTTGTATTTTTAATCATTTTATTCAGACAGTTTCTGTATCTTTTGATAGTTTTTTGTTCTCAGGAAAATTGTATAGTAGTGTTTTTTTCATATGATCCCTGTGTTTGATTGACTCAATCAACTCCAATGTTATCCATGGACTTTGGGGATCTCGGACTGGGCGGAAGAGAAAAGACTCACGCACTGGTCTGAATTACCAGGATTAACCTATTCGAAGGCGTTCCTGCCTGAACCAACGAAAGAAAAGACTAGGCAGATCCTAGAATGCAGCAGGAATAACCTGTAAATTCTGACAGGACTGCTTACGGGACACTGTCGGTTCGGCTATTTGGAAGTCGAAATGGCTCAACACATACAAATTTAGAACCTATCGATTTTAGACAAATCTCACCTCATTCAACCATAGACTTTGTGAAATGAACAATGTACAGTGAACTGTCATCTCTATATAGGTGTGAGCTACAATAGATCCATCTGTGGTCGCAGTGGATGGTTGGTATTCGCCTCACTCACATGGAACCTAGCCTATGATTTTTGTTATTTGACCCATTAATTATTAATGTTGCTTCCTGTATTCATTGAGGAAACCCCTTTGACCTAATGGAACTATTATCTCTATTCATACCAGCTGACAAAATATTTTTGTTCTATTCTGATTCGTTGTTGCCGTGACGACGTTGATCTTACCGGCTAGGAAGGGCAAAGCAGCGTACACCATTCTGATTGGTTCCTATATTGCAGGAGATGGCAGTTTCATACACGCCGTGGAATTGTCACAAAAATTCTCATTTCAGCAGAAGATATTCACTCCCCCAACTCAACTCCAGAGTACCGCAGGGAATATTGTGACCAATAATATTTCGAACATTTATTGATAATCTTAGTAGGCATACCTATGCTCTCTCATTCAACTCATCAACTTTTCAATTCTCGCTGTAGTTTAGGCGTTGAACTTCTCTTTTTCAAATTTTTGTCATTGTTAAGATCATCTTCGAACCTCACAACATCGACAACGCATCTCCAGCCACCGTATCAAGAAACGGCATGGTTTACATGAGCTCCTCTGGTTTGACATGGAGACCAGTAATCAAGGCTTGGCTGAAGAGCAGGAGCCCTAGAGAGCAAGAGGTTTTCTACACTTTGTTCGACGATTCCTTTCCAAAAATGTACAGTTGGGGCACGCAGAATCTGTCGTTAGTGATAGAAATACTGCAGTGTAACGTCACGTTGCAAATCATCAAGTTACTGGAAGGTGAGTGAACAAATAGAATCCGGAAAATTTTCGGAGGTAATACCACTTGCTCTTCAAATCACATCGATGATTTTTTTATTTCTGAATGAAGATTTCCTTATTTGACAATAATATGAAAACGAACCGATTGATCCAATCACGAGCCCGTAGGACGGGTCATTACATCTGAAAAAAAAATCATCAGATAAAATTTGAGGGACGAATTTTATTTGGAAAGATTGATAAAAAGACGCTTGCAAATTTCACCGGTGAAATTATTACTACGTCCTCCTATTATGATTGTTCAAATGGTTCTAAAAGTGATGTGATGCGATGACTACAAGCAAAGATGCGTTCGTGGTATATAGCGTATAATATGATTTTCGAAAGAAATGGATTATTTGTTTCATAAAATTGGAATTCGATTAAAGAAGTCACGTTTTGTTTTCTTGGAGACTTGATAATAATTGTCACTCACACATGATATTGGTTGGAAGAAAGAAGATGACAAATACTAGTAATAAGTTAGATTGATTTTGATAGATCAATGTAAATGGAGATTGATCAAGGACCATGTAATTTCATCAGTATAATACCGAATGATTGGCTAGATTTACAAATTATTGCTATTGGTTGGAATGAAGAGAACATCACATTTTGACGTGAAAAAAATAACCGAAATAAAATTGTATATTTATTCAATTCCACTAATGGACTTGGAGCTTGGGCCATGAACGAAACTAACAAGTATCTGGATTTATCAGTATAATGATTGATAGATTCACATTCATAAATCGCTGAAAATACACTGACTGACACAGAAAGCAGCCATCACCTCCTAGCTTTTTTGATTTTTGTCCGAATTTGGTGAAAGTTTGAACCGTTCCGAAATATCAACCTGAGTTTTTGTTCCCAAAAAAAGCTGTTTGACTCGATCATTTTACAGGGTGTCCCTGAAAAGTCTTTGCAAAATCTCACCACATATTTCTGATGTCGAAATAAGCCAATTTGAAGAGGTAACCTCAGTCCTAAATTGCTTCGTTTCCGAGATACAGGGTGGTGAAGATAATGAATTAAAATCGACAAGTATACACTCCAAGACAGTATTTTGAAAAATTCGTTTCTCACTGCTGATTCACTGACCAAATTAAATCCACGAAGATAACAGCGACCATTTTTTATTCAAAATAATCTAACTATTCCGGTGCTATATCGATCACTGAAAATCGAAATATCTCGAAATCGGATTACTTCACTGGGTTTTCCGAAGTGTATCTTTCTTGCTTGTTATTTTCAGAAAGTTATCTCCTCAACAAATGGGGTGGAAAACGACACTGAGGAAGAATAGTAATGGGCATTCCAAACAAAAAAAAAAATCAATTTGTACGCTCCCTCTATTGGTCACAGTACTAACGTGTCCGTATCCGTTTTTTCCATGAAAAACACTGTATAACAATATTTGAAGTTATACGTTCGAGAATGTTCTTCAATTATGTTATATTCTATTTGAATTCTTCAAATTCATCACCCTATATCTTGGAAATGAAATAATTTTGGACTGAGGTAAGTTTTGAATCAGCTCATTTTGATCTTAGGAATATGTGCTGAGATTCTGTACAGACCTTTAAAGGAAAACCAAGAGTTACTATTCCAAATGAAGTGATGAACTCAGCTTCATTATGTCCAGAAACGAGATAGTGAGGGTGGATGAGTAATTTCTAATTCCTCTTGTATAATAATCTTGTCATCAGTTTTCTTCTTGAAGAATTATAATTCAGGCTAACACTGCTTTGTAACATTGATCTACAATTTGGTCGGAATTTCATCAAAATCGGAATAGAATTCGAAAATTAACTTTGGCAAAACTTTTTGCTGGCTGTTTCTTGCCAGTGAGTGTATGTACATCGTACATTCTGTATGAAGAGTAGCAAGTTTGAACAGCGCATTGGCTCGTGGCAATAAGAACATGTCTGAATGGTATGAAGAATCCTTCGAGGTTTGTGTGATTGTCGGATATGGAAATTTCTATACCAGTTCACTAGCCTTTTGTATCGCTGAGTTACCTAAATATTTTCAGGATTGGTGCCTTGCCAAATAGTGGAAGAGGAAATTTCTGCGGCTAGATCTGACGCGGGAGATATGGACGACGATTTGGTCGAAGAAACTGAAAAAGTCGAAGAGAAACAGATCCTTACTTCCGAACATCTGGGCAAGCTGTACGTGTTCGCGTTAGTTTGGAGCATGGGAGCCTATCTAGAAACAGACGATCGGCTCAAGTTCGATCAGTACGTGAAAGAATCTCTCGGGGTATTGGATCTTCCCGTCAACGACAGAAAGAATCCGAATGCAAGTATACACATATCATGAACCGAGGTAACTTTGTGACTTGGGTTTCACTACGGGACACATGATATTTTCCTCACACTGAACTTGAAAAATCTATTCAAGCAGTAAATATGACAACTTCTGTAGTATTCAGTCTTGTTCATAAAATGACGAATACAAAAAAGTTTGGCAACATTGCATTGGCTCTGACAGCAGCAATGGATATTTGAGCTCGGTAGGCACGTATTTTCCCAATCACTCCAAACTTCCTACTGGGTCGATAAAGTGAGACTATAGAATTTAATCCGAAAAACTTGTTGCACCAAAGTTCAAGTTCAAATGTTCTACAACTTCTCGCAAGCCTCACTGACTTCTTGGTTCAAAAAATTATAGAAATTATTCGGAATAAAAACTTCACGAATTACGAAGGTTCTCAATCTTGGAGCCATTGTGAATATTATGACAATTTATGGAAAGCAATGAAAATTGATTACTCATAAGACGAGATATTTCATAGCAACAAAGTTATAAATATGGCGATGAAAATATCTGAATATCTTGGGAGAGAAATGTTCTCGAAGAATTTGTACAAGGAACAATAGATTTCAGAATAGCTTGCCTTCGATTTTAGGATTAGGCCTCATTTGGAGCGTTATATCCTTCAAGTTTCATGTATAAAAAAGCAAGATCATTCTCTTGTTTATCCAACTTGTCATGTTGAAATGTAGTGATGTTAGCGTCTTGAGAAAGTTTTATTCGTGTTCTTCTTCTCTCTACTATGTACACAGAACTGGCAAGAATATCGTTTTTGCTTACCATTATTTCACTTTTTTTCGTTCTGAAAAGTCTATCTCCAGGACAGAGTCTGATAACGTCGAAATATATAAGAAGCCAGTGTACCAAAGTTACACAAATGGCGGGGTAACATTGAAACACCTTTAGGATGGAATATATCAAATAACAAAATGAATAAATATGGTTTTGTACTAATAACTACTTTGGAGTGTGAGTTTATCGTCATTTACTACTGAAAACCCAGTTATTTCAGCAATATTTTATTTTTATAGAAAAATGAAACACCGCTCCAAAGTTACTTTACGGTACTGAGGGTATTCTCAATTCCTATTCTGAACTGATACTTGATCTGGCACTCAAAATGACTTCTGTCTTCAATATCAGTACTTATTGAGGGGCGAAAATAATCTTGAAGTATTGTAACTATCCTCCGAATTATTTCATAGGCCACAGTCTTCGACTATGTCGTGAATCCCGAAGGCGAGTGGGTGTTGTGGAGTTCCATGGTTACCAACTACGTGTACCCTGAGACCGCCACCCCTGAGTTCGCCACTATCCTCGTTCCCATTTCGGACAACGTGCGAATCAACTTCCTGATCGACACTATCGCCAAACAAGAGAAAGCAGTACTACTAATCGGCGAACAAGGTACCGCCAAGACTGTCATGATGAAGTCCTACATGAAGAAGGCGAATGCAGAGGTAAAACATTTATTTTTCTCGAATCAGAAATGGAAAAAAAAACTGTGATGTTCAAAGTGATTTATGAATATAGTAGCAATTCGATAGAATAGTAGTGCACCTTTGTGACTCTCAGACCAATCGACCCTCTCTCACTTATGCATCATTCTTAACTGGTATTCTTAACTGACCCAACGTTGTTTGACGATTCTGTGACGTTTTCGTGTCGTTTCTGTGACGTTTCTGTTTAGCCCCGTCACTCCACCCCGTTATCCCCGACATTGTACAACTTAGTCCCGCCACTCATATAGACGAGGGGATGGAAACAAAAATGTCACAGAAACGTCGAAAACGGCTTTGTCGAAGCATCAAAAAAAAATGATTCCAGATGAACATAATTCATGGGTTAGAAAGGAGTCCATTGGTCTGAGAGTTACATCAGGTTCATTCGGGTTAGAACAATTACTGTTCTAGAACTGTCAGGAATTTGCGCAGCAGAATCGGTCGCGTTCGGGTTTTGTGGAACCGTTCTAGGACTGACTCTTTATACGAGATATTGTGAATAGACTCAAAGAAGAGTCTGAAGCTTCAGAATATTATTTTAATAATGATACAGGTTCCAAACTATTGTTTTTTTCGCAAATTCTAAATAGAGTTCATGTTCTCAGAAGTTCTCTGCTGCCGTGTTCGGGTTTTCATAATTTGTGAACCGTTCTGGAACAGTCCTAGGATTCGAAACGACTGCGCACTAGTTATACGCAGTTCGAGGACGATTCTTGAACAGTTCTGAAATCGGAACCCGAATGAACCTATAGGTCCACTACGTAGGAGGGTGTCCTTCCACAACAACAATAAGATGCTGTCAATTCACTTCAAAAACATGACCCATTGAAATACTCTCAGTGCTCTGATTGGGAGAAAAAGTATATCATAGTGCATTATTGATAATTATTAAACCAGTTCTATTCCAACATTGTCATAGTTGGAAGTATACAAGGTTTTTGATTAAGAACGTTAATTATAAGTTTCTGGCAAACAAACTAACAGATGAATCTGGAAATTCGATGATATGTATAAATTGTCAATAAGATCAATACGTCTATAATATTCTAAACGATGCGGCGTTTCCGCTTTCACTAGAAAGTAGCAGCAACTTTGATATTTCGAATAGGACAACCTATATTTCATTGCATCATCAGATTATCATTGATTTTAGCAATATTTCACACATAGGGTGTAGCAGAAATGATCACAGAATTATATAGGTTGTCCAAAATCGAGATTTCCTACCTCTAGGATTTTTTTGTGAGGAAATCATTCATTTTCGGTCAAAAGGACTTGCATTAACCAATATCAACTTTTGATTCACCATCAACTGACATTGAATCAAAACAAATACAGGGTCATCAGAATTATATACTTCTCATCACTTTGTATTCGTTTCAGTTAAATGTCAGTAGATAGAATATCAAAAGTGAAAATGGACCGTTTTGACCGATAATTAATAGTTTCGACATAAAAAAAATCCTGAATTAATCTTCTCCAAATGAGATACATTGAGGAAGAATCATACAGGGTGTTCTGTTCGAAAATAGAAGTTGCTTCTACTTTCTAGTAAAAGTGGCATTGCCGCATCGTTTATGATATTTCAGACGTGTAGATCATGCCATTTTATTCATACATTTTTCCACCGGCAGGTGTACCTGAATAGAGCATTCAATTTCTCCAGCGCTACTAGCCCCTACCAGTTCCAAAAGACCATAGAAAGCTACGTCGAAAAGAGAATGGGAAACACATTCGGCCCCCCAAACGGCAAAAAGATGATAGTCTTCATCGATGACATCAATTTACCAGAGATCAACTGTTGGGGAGACCAAATCACCAATGAAATCGTGCGGCAGACCATGGACATGGGCGGCTTCTATAGCCTGGAGAAACCCGGGGAATTCATCACGATCAACGACGTCCAGTTTGTGGGGGCGATGGGGCAACCAGGCGGCGGCAGGAACGACATCCCTTCGAGACTAAAGAGACAGTTCTGCATATTCAATTGCCCGCTACCGACGGACGTTTCCATCGACAAAATATTCGGGGTGATCGCCCAAGGCCATTACAACGTCAAGAGAGGTTTCGCTTTAGAGGTGAGGAATCTGATCAAGAAGCTCATCCCGTTGACCAGGGTGTTGTGGAAGAACACTAGAGCGCAGTTGCTGCCTACTCCGGCTAAGTTTCATTACGTGTTTTCGCTGAGGGATCTGTCGAGGATATGGCAAGGCATGGTCGGCACTCTTTCTACGGTTATTGAATCGGAAGCGTGCATGATGGTGCTGTGGAAGCACGAATGCAGCCGCGTGTTCTCCGATAGGTAAGATGAGATTGAAACTCGTAGATTGGCTCCCGTTCGTTTTGGTCCCCTGCTGAACGGAAGGAATTTCACTAATACTTCAGTCCACCATTATTCAAAGTCGACGGCACGTTATAGCAACAACATTGCGAGAGAAAGCAAGCAGTTTTTCAGAGATATTCGCAGCAAACTCAACACTAAACATTAGGTTCTTAGGGAAGAGTGTTAGATATTGAAATGAAAAAAATGAAATAAAAATGAAAATATTCCACCCGTTGAAAGTCGAATGCTCGAGGTCGTCTTTCGTCAACGCACTATCAGACGCATTATTCTTGGTCTCGAAACGAAAGATCAACGGTCCTGATGGAATTCCACCCATTTTTGTCAAAAAGTGCTCGTCAGAGTTGACATCAATCCTCTGCAAGTTATTCACCATTTCGTACAATTCGGATACCTTTCCAGCCAACTGGAGAATATTGAAAGTCCAACCAATCCCGAAAGAAGGGAAAAAACCTGTACTGTCTATCAACGATAGACGAATATGGCTTTCACCATTGAAGATCAGCACTGGAAATTCACTTGCCTGCATCACCCATATACAGAGAAGTGCACAAAAAACTGACAGGACTGTAACTTTCGAATTATTGGAGATAGGGTTTTGAAAATTGGTGAATAACAAGTATACCGAATCGCTCATTGATTGATGAAACAATATTTCTTCTATAACTCCAAGTTTCACCAAAAACGACCCTAACTTTCGATTTTTGAAAGTGGTACCCTATATTTTAAGGTATTATCATTACAAATTCAACGATACCGGGTTTGATAGGGTTATTTCGAACGATTACAAAGATATTTGCGTTCGAAGTTTTCATATGGTCAGTGGGTTTGACTTCGCGATATCAAAACTTCTTTCTCTGTCACACTCATTGAGCATATGGAAGCTTAGAACGCGAATATCTGCGTTATCGTTTGAAATGACCTCATCAAACCCAGTATCGATGTATTCATAATGACAATCCCTAACCAATTGAGGAATACGATATCCTCCCTAGATAGGTTCCCATTTATAAATCAAGGGTTGGAGTCGTTTCCAGTAGAACCGGAAGTGATAGCACAAAAATTGTTTCGTCAATCAATGAGCAATTTGGTATACTAGCTGCCCACCAATAAACTTTCAGAACCATATCTCGAATTATTCTGAAGTTACAGTTCTGGTCGTTTTTTGTGCACTTCTCTGTATAGCAAGCTTCATGAGAAAAACATGGGGAATCACTACCCGAATTTGACACCATATTTATGATCGGTATCAGCAATACCATCTCATGAAAAATCATGTCAGATCCATCGCCAAACCTGTTTCACAAAAACTCTGATTCTCATTTCGTGTTAAAAGCTACTCAACACCTCAACAGCTCCTCGTGATTCACAAAGCTCAGATACGACATGTTCTAGAATACTCTTTCCACATACGGGCTTCAGCACCCAAACATACGCTGATGCTCTTAGATTCCATCCAGAGCCGAGCCATTCGCCTGGGGAGCAATGCCACACTAACTAATTCTTTTACATCACTAGCACTGCCAGTCAGAACTACTCGACAGGCCCAGTCAGCACATCGTCAACCTCGAATCATTTCGGACAGCTATTTTCCAACACTCGTTTGTCATTAGAACGACAAACTATCTGGAATACTTTGCCAAAGGAACTACTACCAAGAACATATAACCTCTGAGAATTGAAAACATCTCAATACCTATCTTTTCTTCCTATCCTCCCTAGATAGGTTCGCACGATATTCAACATTATAGGGATTCCTTCTGATGCGCTCCAAGAGATACAAATATGTTTCCTAATGGAACTTCCTCTTCTCGAGAACGTTTTTATTTTATTGGTATGGAACCGACTAGGTTACCTTGTTTAATATTTGCTCTCCTCTACCACCATCGCAGGTTTCTCTGCTCTCTAACTACAATAGTTATTTATGTATCAAGGGCGTAAAGTAGGCGTTTATGGCCTGTGGCGTGAATAATGGCCCGATGGCGCTAGCCGAGGGCCATTACACGCTGAATGGATGATTTACATATGAAAATTACCGTATGAATATTGCAATTACCTTAATAGTAAAACTCTTTCAGCTCTAGAAGAGATTCATTCTTCAGAATTTTACAATATGCATACCCTGTATATAAACCAAACTTATTTTGAAGTTGTCAATCAATCTGATGGTTGTTGTCTATAGCAATACATCTAATGAACGAGCTGAATTGTAATTCTTGGACTGAAAAGTAAAATTAGTGATAATAATAATAGCGAGACTATGGAATCGGATAAAGAAGACGTTTATGATATACCGCTGGATATATTAGAATCTAGGAATATGATCATAGGTTTTTCATGAATTGATATGTGGATATAAGGAGACTGAGAACAGCGGGCCGTGAAATGCACTTTACGGCCCATGGGCCATAATGAGCCCGCGGGCGGTAAAGTGCAACTTAACGCCCGCAAAACCGGGCGGTAAAGTACATGGGTTTGAGTATTGATAACTCTTTTCTATATCCATACCATTAACACCCAAAAAGACAATGATGGTTCATCAATAGACAACAACTGCAGAAAATGCTGATTCGGCTAGGTCTTTTATGGTTGTTGGAGGTTGGTGATGGAATAGAACGAAATTTACATTTTAGCTGAACTCTCATGGATAAATTCTCTTATATCAGAGCGAAGCAGAATCAACTTCACAAAATTGAAAAATATATATATTCGAACCGTACTCGCAAACTAAACAGTTGAACCATTTTCTTAGGAGTGTCAGGTCGAAAATTCCTGTATCTGAAGTTTGATCGTCAGAAGACTCTATAGATATACCTTGTTACATTCAATGAGTGACTTGTTCTGAATCAGATTCTTCAATAGCTGAGACTAGGGTCCCTTAATGGAAATTGACGTTAAAGTCATCAGCTGCATACTTTTTTGATGATCTAGAGACTTTAGTTTTGTCTACTGGCATCACTGACATTGCTGTTATTAAAATCATCCAACATTTATTTAATAGGTATGTACAGGGTATTTACTTGTTGAGGAAGATCATATGACGAACGAGTTTTGTGATTATGATACGATTCTATATAAAATTGGAAGGTATATCTGGGGTATTCCGGGGTTAGAGATAATGATTGTTTCGTCAAACGAAAGGAGGTAATTCCTCAGACCATTTTAAGACAAAAAGTTCATATAAACTCAGGTCCGAAAACGCTTCGTTACCGATCTACGGGGTGTTGAAATTTCAATTTTTTTATAGATTCTCACAAACATTTGAGATGTCCATCGATGTAAGCCCTATAACATAATCTATGTTTCAAATTTGAGCCACATATCTCAAAAACTGCAGGATCTATAAAGAAAAAACAAAAAAAATCTTGAAATTTCAACACCCCGTAGATCGGTAACAAAGCGTTTGCGGACCAATGTTTATATGAACTTTTAGTCTTAAAATGAGCTGAGGAATTACCCCCTTTCGGATGTACATGATGTTTAGGAACACCCTGTATAACCGAGAGACATTACTAATTATAATTTGATTCTATTTAAGATTGGTATCTGAGGGTTTTTGGGGTCGAACTTCATGATTTTTTGTCAAAATTGAGAAATTCAAGATAGCGTATCCATATGACGGACGAATTTTGTAATGGTTGGAAAGAATTCTATTGCTAAAATTCATTAAAAAAATTGCAGGATCTTTAAATCTGCCTAATGTCATGAATTATACCGGGCATAGTATAAGAAGAACCTCGGCAAGTTAATTTGCAAATTCTTGAGTTTCTTGGAAGTCTACGAATATCGCTGAAGGGTATGTGCAGCAATCTCTCACAAAATAGCAAAAAATTTCGAATCAAATGGTGGGTCACTGAAGTTAATGAAATTGATTGTAATCAGCCAAGTACGAATTCTGTATGATGTATTTTATGAAAATATCGCGAAAACTGCATTGGCTACATGTCTTACTTCTAGTGGTTTCAAATAACCACTGCTCAAAACTGCAGTTTTGATATTACTTCATATAATTATTACTCTACCACGGATCGAAAATATGTAGGATGCAAGAGTGAAAATAACGTGCCTATAAGTTATACTGTATACTACTTCTTTGTTACTTCGATTAATAAATTATTTGAAAATTACTCTTTATTCAAGGGAGACGGAAAATTCATAAATATATATAACATGGGGGTGAAGTATATTTTATTCTCCATCTTCCTACTTTTCGCCATAGACGAAGTTTTATACAAATTCTTTCCGGAGTTGGATTTCCGAAAATATATTTAGCACACAATGACTTGAGTACAGTAGTTTAGATAAACTACTGCTCAGCTTGAAATCAGAATTCATTCAGTCAACCCTGGTATCCAGTCTAAGAACAGTCTCTTTTGGTGAAAAATATAAAGCTTTCAGTACAATTTATATGTTTCCTACCTCGCAAAGATTATGCTGGAGCAGTAAACTCTAAAACTAGAGGATTGTTCATCTATATCTTGGTATAGTTGAATCAGGAATTTCATATGGAAATTACGTATGATACGCCAATGACCTCAATATAACCTATAAAACAACAAATGTCAAAAATCTAGTGTGTATCCCCAGAATTGAATAAGGATGGAACTATATAACTGTTTCAATACGATAACGTCAGTTTGCATCAAGGGACCCTAGCTGAGAGCACATAGCATCAGTACATATTCATTCGGTATCAAGAATCATTATCAGAAATGCCACCTCCGATATTTCCTGTTATAGGTTCACCATCGAGGCGGACAAGGAATGGTTCAACCAAGAACTCCTCGATTTGGTAGAGGCGAATTTGGGCAGAGAAGTCAGAGAAAAGACGGAGCCCAGTCCGGTATTCGTAGACTTCATGAGAGACGCCCCCGAGCCCACAGGTAGGGTTGAGATGATCGAAATTTCCATATGAAAATTTCCAATTGTGAAGTTCCAAAATCGGAATATTCCACTGAACCGTGAAACTGTGGAAAATGTTGAATAACATTTTCAATTTGAAAATTTCTATATCATAAGTAGGTATGTATCCCACTGAGCAAGGAACATCATCCCGGGGATAGTTATTTATACCAGTCCTTCGGTATGAATCGTACGGCTAATCGCTGAGATATTAAGGGGGGGGGGTTAAAGTGAGAAACGCTGTATTTCAATGAAATTCCATTTCATAACCAAAAATTAAATTTCTTGAACTCTACCCGCAGGCGAAGAAGGCGAAGACGCCGACATGGAATTACCGAAGGTGTACGAACCTGTTGCGGACGAATCCGAACTGAGGGAGCGCCTGGACATGTTCCTGGCACAGTTCAACGAGATGGTGCGCGGATCCGGCATGGACCTGGTCTTCTTTCCCGACGCCATGTTGCATTTAGTCAAGATATCCAGGGTGATCAGGCACCCCAGGGGAAACGTGATGCTGGTTGGGGTGGGCGGAAGCGGGAAGCAGTCGCTCACCAAGCTGTCTTCGTTCATTGCCGGCTACAAGACCTTCCAAATCGCTCTGACGCGATCGTATAACATCGCCAACTTCCTAGAAGATCTCAAGGTTTTGTACCGATCGTGTGGATGTCAAGGAAAAGGTATCTACACCAAGACTGATGCACCAGTTTCAGAAAATATTCTCGATTTCATTTGTCTATTCCGTCTTCTGACTGAATTACACCTTGCGAAAACTTCACAAACGATAGGATTTCCACAGAATTCTCAAACACACGACATGTTTCGCTAACACAGTTGCTTTGTCAGGTGATATACTGGTACGTTTTTTTTTGTCGAGGTGGTTGAAATCCTTAATGGACACCATATGGGTCTAATCCACCATATGATAGTGTGGGATTCCCCTAACTCTAGCCAGAGTATACCCACTACTAGACATTCCACCCCGCTTGTAGGCTTGCCTGACCGATGTCTCCGACGACACTTAGGCCTAGTGGCCCTTTGTTTCTTATATTACCTAGTAGTTTTCATTATACTTACTTCATCATCTCTGTGCCTCGAACAATAGTGTGTACAAATCCTTCACTGGATGTGAGTTAAATACTTCTGGTTCGCCGACTGGTTGCCCAAAAATATATCGACTTTTGCGATTCAATGCCTCGCATCTGCACAGTTTATGTGATACTTCTCTGGTTCCTTTCCACATAGTCTACAGTTTGGGTCGCCATCATACAGTCCCATTCTGATGAGGTGCTCCTTTACTGGCGCATGGCCAGTCATGAGTCCCGTGCCAGTTTTTATCTGTACTCTGTTCAAGTTGAGCAGGTCTACAGTTCGTTTATGACATGGTTCCCTAATGTATTGTTTCCCATGTCTGTTCCTTGGGATGTTTCCCAGTATCTCTTATGTTCTGCCTGAATGCATTCTCTAACTGACACTCGTGCTATACGTTTTGGTACTCCAAGAGTCTGCCCTGGATCTGGCTTGTTGTCCGACCCTCTTCTTGTAATTTCTACAGCTTTCTCATTACCAGCGATCCCCTGACGTTCTGGCATCCAAATTAGCCTGACGCAATTCCGGTCTGCCAAAGTTCTCAGTTTCCTATTGCAATTCCATATCAGTCGAAATGCCACTTCCTGGCTTTCTATTGCCTTGAGTGCCGCTTGACTGTCTCACATAATGCGGATCTGCTCGTTTTCCACGGCTCTCCTGTTATTTTCTCCTGCACATAGGAGAATTGCGTACACCTCTGCTTGAAAAACTGAGGCATACTTCCCCAATGAGTAGCTGAAGCTAGTCTCCGGATGTTTGGAGTCAACCCCTGCTCCTGACTCATTTGCAGTCTTGGACCCGTCTGTATACCAGATCTCTCCCTGCAATATATTGGTACGTACATCGTACCAGTATATTGCCTGACGAAGCTACTGTGTTTGAGAATCTCATGGCAATCTTATCGTTTGTGAAGTTTCTACATTTGCCATGGATTTCCACCCAAGTAACGGCCGATTCAAAATTTGAATTACACTAGTTATGTATCTAAGATGATGATTCAAAGATAGACATCCAAAGCTTTTATTCACATTAGTTTTTGTACAGGTTTCGTCATCTGAAAAAGATTCCAACTTTGTGGTCGATTTGTCGTCAATAATTTTGTTGAGTTTACGAGTTACAAAATAATAAATTGATTCTTTGTTCAATATCCAATCGAAAACTGAATTTTCTGGCACAATCATCACACTACAATATAACATTAGGCGTTTTCGAAAACTTACTAGGGCCCCTAACCAGAACGAGGTTACCTAAACCGAGTCACCCACCTCTGTTCGGAAAATATTGAATGTTGCTGACCACTGACTCGGGTGGCGAGAATTTGGGTAGATGTGAACTTTGTGGTTTCATGAGCCAAGAAAGTGATGTGAAAGTGACATGAGACAAGTTCTCCAACACCAGGTGAATTCAAATATTTGTAATCATATCAAATATCAAAACTATTGTGAACATTTTCGTCAATCAAACTCACAAAACCACAGAAAAAAGATTCAATTCTGTGTTCCTAACCTGACACCTTCGTAAACGTTCAACACGAGTAGATAATCCGAGTGTTTTGTCACGTGACCTCTCTGGATCGGGTCAACAACCCAGAGCAAGTTTCCGAAAACACCTATTAACTATAGAGTCATAGGATGGATGGTAGTAGTTATCTGATTTTTCATCGCATTATCATCAATCAATCAATCAATCAAAATATACTTTATTGTCTGAAGAATAAAATTCTCATTGACAAAGTCGAACATGCTTATATATATACATATAAAGAAATAAAGTAGAGTATAAAAATGAAACCCTACATTGTATAAATAGAACTAACACAATATAGTGAACAATATAAAACACATTAAAATTACAGAAACTGTTGAAACCAAAGGATATAGTTAAAAGTTGGAAATCAAAAACAATAGGATATCAGCAATGTGAATTATTTTAGGAATTTTTCTGAAAAGAATTCGTCTAAGGAGTAGCAAGCCTTTTCAATTAGAATACTTTTGACCGATTTTTTAAACATTTTTGGGTTATTGATACATTTTACCTCATCAGGCAAATGGTTATACAATTTTCTGCCATTGTAAATGAAAGAGTTTATTATTAATGTAGAGCTAGGTATTGGTATATTTAAATTATGTGCCCGTCTTGTATTATAGTGTGTAGTAATATGATTTTCGTTTTTATATTTTCGGTGTATGAGACATACCGTTTCCAGAATGAAAATACATGGAAGAGGTAATATTTTGTGCTCTATGAATAATGGCTTGCAAGAATCCCTGAATCCAGCTCTACACATGTATCTCACGGCTCTTTTTTGTAGGACAAAAATCACATCAAACAAAGTTTTACTACATGAACCCCAGAAACAAATTCCATATCTCAAATGTGAATCAATGAGAGCAAAGTATACACTTTTGGCCATTTCTCTACCAAGTTCCCATGATGTTGTTCTGACTGCATAACAGCCAGATGACAACTTTTTCCTTAATTTGTCAATATGGTCACTAAACTTCAATTTATTGTCAATGTGTAAACCTAGAAACTTCGTATCTGTTCTATTACTGATTACTTGATTACCTAACTGAAGTTCTCCCTGCAGAGTGCAATTGAAAGTTAGGACACTTGTTTTAGAGATGTTAAAGGACAACATATTAGAATCGCACCACTTTTTCACCTTAGCAATATCGTTACTAATTGTTTGTTGTAAGTCATAACTATTTCTACTGTGCCAAAATAGTGTGGTGTCATCTGCAAATTGGGTAAATTTTCCTATAATATCGATCGACGCTAGGTCATTGATGTATAACAAAAATAGGATAGGTCCAAGCACAGATCCTTGAGGCACTCCCCAACTAACCTCCAAACTACATGATATTTTACCTTGAAGGGACACACTTTGGGTTCTTTCGAATAAGTAAGAAGTGAACCATTGCAAAACTGAATCCCTGAAACCATATCTTTCTAATTTTTGAAGCAGAAATTTGTGGTTAACACAGTCGAAAGCCTTAGTAAGATCACAGAAAATGAACATTTTCCGAAAACCGACATTTACTATGTTCTGAAGAGACTGTGTTGCACAAAAATGAATCATTAAAACTACAACTCGACAAACTCCCAACATGCCGACTGGTTCTTCCAGAATGCTCACCCCTAGAAGTTTTTCATCATTGAAGGTAGTGAAACGGAATTCGACACTTTTTGACATATTGAATTTAACGATACCGGGTTTGATTGGGTGATTTTGAACGATCAAGAAAATTTATTTGCTTCCGAGGTTTTTATATTCTTCATGAATCTGAGAATCGTGCTGGTCATCGTATTTGGCCAATATTCCCTATCCAGCTTTCCTCAAACTGGTCAATTAGATGTCTAGTACAATGTGAGTCTGATTCCTCCTCCAGATTTATGATCAACTAATTTTTTGTGCAACACAATTTCTCATCCAAACTAAGATAGTATTATCCGTTTTTGTGTGTGAATAGAGTTGGGACACACGAACGGTACCTATAAGCAAATTCATGAGATTGAGACTTGCTCTCAATCAGAAACGATTGAACGAACACTTCTTCTGATTTTTTTCAAACTCTGGATTGCTTTGAAATGCTGTGGCAGATGATGTTAAATTTTTCTGCTTTCATAAATCACAGAATTTTTGGTGAGCTTTGTTTTTGGTATTGGTAGTTTGATATCATTTTCATTCCTAGTATATACATTTGGATCCAGAGAGATTCTACTCATTAGACGCTGATTTTTGTGAATCCAACAAACAGTTCCCAATACAAATAGGCACGTTAGTGTCAAAATTTTACAATGAATGAAAATAGGTCTACAATGGTCACTAGATCTAGCTTCACAAAGGTATCTCACTGCTCTTTTCTGTAGGACAAATACTAACAAAACATACAGATAGATTCAAATAATTGCAACAGGTACCACGTTCATCTTCACGGATTTGGACATCAAAGAGGAGGGCTTCCTCGAGTACCTCAACAACATCCTCTCGTCAGGCGTCATTTCCAATCTGTTCACCAAGGACGACCAAGCCGAGATCATCCAAGAGCTGACGCCGATCATGAAGCGAGAGAACCCAAAGCGTACCCTCAACCAAGAGGTGATCATGGAGTACTTCATGAACAGGTTTGATCAACTAATGTTTTTATTAGTGCATCAGAAGGTTCAATACTCCGCCTGCTTCTTTTATTATACAGGGTATATTATAATGATAATAATTATATTGATAATAATAATAATAATATTGATGATAATAATAATAATAATAATAATAATAATCCCCCTATGCTCCGGGGGATATTGAGTCCGTTGTGGAGAATGAGAGGTGCCGAATTTATTGGAACTTCTCATTCCCCACCCTCAGGCAAATACAAGCTAACCAGCCCGATGTAGTCCTTCTCAACCATCAAACCAAAGCGATGTTCGTGATCGAGTTTTTGGCGCCATCGTTTTGAAGGAGGAGGAGAAACGGACTAAATATCGAGATCTTCTCTTCGAATTCCGCCGGCTCTATCCAGACCATTCTGTGGAATAGGTCATCCTGATAATCGGCTTCCTGAGAGCACACGACATATGTTGCTCTCGAAAATCCAGAAAATCCCAGCGTGCAGTTATAACCCAATCAGCCAAAGTACGTCTTAATGGCGTCTTTAAGACGTACATGTCGGGACATAAGTACGTCTTAAAGACGTACATATTACGCCCAAGAGACGTCTTTAAGACGTCTTTAAAACGTACATTTTCCACTAATATGTACGTCTTTAAGACGTCTTTTTTAGGTGTTTTTGGTCCATGACCTCAAATTGATCTTTCAAATTACGGAAAAATCACATAGTTTCAGTTAATTTTCACCTGTGCACTGAAGTTAGCAACAAGTGCAGACAAGCAAAAAAAAGGGAAATAAACGACTTCATCAAACGGTAGACACAAGCGGTCACCCATTCAAGTACTAACCGCGCTCTTTGTTGCTTGACTTCGATGATTATACCATAATCACTTCTTCTGTTACTCTGTTTGTTCTATATATCACATAACAAGCTTTTACTTAGTTTAACATGTCCTTGTGTCTGTTTGTAATCAAAACGTGCAAGTTAAATTTGACTCACTTCAAATCGTCCGATTGATTTGAAATTTGGCAAGTAAATATTATTCCGGTGGCGATTCGTTGTGATATTATCATTGAATGGAAAAAACAGAATAGCGGATCCAATATGGCGGACGATTTTCTCATTGATTATGTTCCGATTCGAATCAAAATTCAATATTCAAGATGGTGAATCCAATGTGGCATATGGTTTTCTGATTATGGTCTGATCTGATTCAAAATTGGCATCTGAAGGATTTCGGGATCAGAGATTATAATTCCTTTTGTCGAAAATGAAAAATCCAAGATGTCGGCTTCAAAATGGCGGAGTTTTGTGATTATAGTCCCATTTTATTCAAAATTGATTACTATGGGACTTTTGGGGTCGGAGAATATGATTTTTTGTAAAAATTCGAGAATCTAACACGAAGGCTCCAAAATGTCGGACGAAAAAATTCAAAAACATCACTATTGTTGAAAATAAGAAAAAACTGAACAATTGAAAATAAAAAACGTGAAGAGATGACATTTTGTTTTTCTTCAGAAAATAAACTTACATTATTGTTCTATAAGTCGAATCGACGTACTGGAATGTACGTCTTTAAGACGTCTTTTATACGACATGGGAGGAACGACGTGGATACGACCTAAAATGTACGTCTTAAAGACGTAAATTCGTGTACGTCTTTAAGATGTACATGGGAAGGCACACATCCTGGCTGGTGGAATGTAGAAGACCGTCATACTTGGATCATTGCGATAACTCAGAGCACACGGTTCTTGGTCCTATTGATTATTCACCAACATTATTCCTTCTTCATATCAATGATCTGTTGGGAGTAACAACTTACCCCATCCACAGCTTTGCAGATGATAGTACCCTCCATACTGCGTTCTCTTCCAGGATTCCCATTTCTTCCCAGGAAACTAAGAACTCACGGCGCAGGCAGGTCAATGCTGTCAATGAAGACCTTGCTGAAATCACAGCATGAGGAACCAACAACCTAGTTGAATTCAACGCCACAAAAATTCAAGCCTGTATTTTCTCTAGAAAGGCGGAACTCAGTATGCCCGACATTGTAATGTCTGGCACCACCATCCCCAACAAGCCCACCATATCTATGCTCGGTATTTCCATCAGCAACACTCTTCCATGGGATAATCATGTCAGATCCATCGCAAAAGCTGCTTCACAAAAACTCGGATTCTTGTTCCGTGCGATCGAAAAGCTCCTTCACACCTCAACAGCTCCTCATGATCTACAAAGATACGGCATTTTTTATGGAAGCACCCCCGTATCTCACGTAATTATTGAGGTAAGGTTCTGAAATTTGCCGGAGGAAGAGAAAGTCCAAAGATAAAGTCAATTACGTGAGATACGAGTGTGCTTCCACAAAAAATGCGACAAAATTTCATTTTTCCGAACTGAAAATTTTCCAGGAAAAATTTGAATAGCTAGTAAATTGGGCGTCCTGATTCCAAATCTGAAGTGATTTTCGACCTATTTCGACTCCTAATATCATTTTCCGGAAATTGGGGCAGTTTCGTGGCTGTTGGCGAGCAGTGTATATCACTGAAGATGACCCCACTTGGTCATAGAGTGCATTTTTGGTATATCTCTCGCTCCAGCAAATTTAAGGATCCTTACACAACGATTACGTAAGATACAGGGATGGTTCCATTAGAAGTGGGTCACACTGTATATAAAGATCACTGATGAGAGGAATTTGACCATGACATTGAAATGTAGGTTGTTAGCCAAAGAAATCAGTTCTAATTGTACAATACTAATTTATAGCGGCTGAACAACCAGAAATAGGTAATAACAATCTGGTGGAATATCAGAAGAAATTAATGGGATTAAATTGAAAACATTTTTCACTCAAAAATTCATTGATATCGTATGTAGGCTGGCGGCCATAAGACAAAGCAAAAGACAGATTGACATTTCTGGAATTGACATCAGACATACATAGACATTCTACATCAAATCAGGCAACTATTTTGGTTTAACTAAAAGAAGAAATAATACACATTAACAAATAGTCCTTATTGTAAATTGAAAATGAAATTGATGACAGAGAGATTTAGGTGGCCAGGGTTTGCAAACAAACCTGTATATACCCTGGGATGTGTGAACTTCAATAATGAAAAAATATCTATCTATCTATCAGGAGTTGCCAGAACCTGCACGTCGTCTTCTGCTTCTCGCCAGTGGGTGAGAAGTTTCGCAACAGGGCGTTGCGATTTCCGGCTCTGATTTCCGGTTGCACCATCGATTGGTTCCAGCCGTGGCCCAAAGATGCTTTGGTCGCAGTGGCCGAGCACTTTTTGACCGATTTCCAGATCGCCTGTACCGAACAGGTCAAACAGGAGCTGGTAAGTCATCACTCTTTTTATTAGGGTATTGTTTATTGTTTATTGAAAAACTAGCTTCCAGTCAGAAATAAAATTCTGGTATGAGGAAGTTGATTACAAACAACAATAATAAAATAATATAAGGTGACAACAACAACAATAAAAATCTAAAAAATCTGAAAATGCTAAATCGATCAAGTCATAAAAATAGCCACAGGGACTAATCAGTAGATGGCAAAGTATCAATTTTATTCATTTCGTAATGAAATCATGTGTTTTTTTAATTCAACTTTAAATTTTGAAATATGTCTGCAATTTTTTATATTATGTGGTAATTTATTAAATTCAGCTAGAGCAGCGTGAGTAAATTTTTTTTGGCCAATTAAAGAAGTAGCAGAATCAAGATGAAATAAGTTTAATTGTCTCGTGTGATGACCATGAATTTCTGAGTTTCTTACCAAAACAAAATTGGATTTCAGATTATTGTTTATTATATTATATGAAACTTTAAGAGAATCTATTTTATATAATTCATCCAATGTAAATTTTTCTGTTATCACATACAGATCATTTGTTGGAATATCAAATGAGAGGCGATACAATACTTTCGGTGCTTTCTAATAAAGTGCAGATATTTTACTGAAATAATTTTTTGAACAAGATCCCCAAACGTTTATCATATAGGTAATACGACTGAGTATATGAGAATGAAGTACTATGTTTATGACTTTTTTGTCAAGTTTAGGACATCTTCGCAAAGCTCCAATGATTGGAGATATTATTTGTATCAGAACCTCTATATGCTTGTCCCGTTTCAATTTTTCATCAATCCACAAACCAAGATACTCTATTTGTGTAGTTCTTTTCAATACTTCAATTTCAATTTGAAGATTGAGACTAATATTCCGTTTATTATATAATATTATATAATATATAATATTATATATTCAGTTTTATTGGTGTTGATTGTTAAAATGTTTGAATAAAGCCATTTTTCAAATTTTTTCAAATCTTCGTTAATAATATTTTCTAGAATGATGGGGTTTTTGTTTTCGTATAGATGTACATACAGTATCATCTGCATATATAGTATAATTACCTGACAATCCAATTTTAGAAATATTTTGAATATATATAATAAATACAAGATGGGCCCTAAAACAGATCCCTGTGGAACACCTTCACTTATTGGAAATTTATTAGACTCTGACATATTACATTGATATTGAGTTCTTCGAAAATGAGAGTCATGATAACGTAAACAATTGGAGAAATTTTTAGAAATAACAGTGAATCCAAGGGTATTGAGCTCAAAGAAGGAGCCATAAAGTTGTACAAAGATGGCTCCTATCCCGAAGATGGAACTGTAATCGGAGTGTATACAGGCCACGTACCAAAACCTTGGCATATTCCCAAGCATATTTCAAGTGAATGTTCACGTATAGGGAAAGAGAGAGGCAAACTACGTCGGTCCGACGTCAATAGGTCAAGGTGGCCGACGGCCGAACCGATGCCTGTCCATCACTGATCCAGTAACTTTATTCATGATTTTTTGCAGACTTGCTCATGATGTTGACCTTATGAATAATCCAAGTTTGTGGCCTTAAGCGCCGAACGCAACTTTGTCGAAAATCGAAAAAAACTGCGAAAGAATCGTTATTTTTTTTTCACTTTCTGGCGATTATAACCCTAAAAGACTAGTTTTCGAAAAAAACTCTTTCAGAACGTTTCTGAAGTAGACCAAAATTGCTACAATATATCGCAAAAATGCCTGAGAATTGCAAAAATTGCAAAAATTCCTGAAAATTGCAAAAATTGCAAAAATTCCTGAAAATTGCAAAAATTGCAGGAATTGCAGAAATTGCAAAAATTCCTGAAAATTGCAGAAATTGCAAAAATTCCTGAAAATTGAAAAAGTTGCAGAAATTGCAAAAATCGCAAAAATGCCAGAAAATTGCAAAAATTCCTGAAAATTGCAGAAATTGCAAAAATTCCTGAAAATTGCAGTGATTGCAGAAATATCAAAAATTGCAAAAATTCCAGAAAATTAGAAAAATTTCGAAAATTGCGAAAATTCCTGAAAATTGCAAAAATCGCAAATATTCCTGGAAACTGTGAAAAGTGCAAGAATTGCAAAAATTACTGAAAATTGCAAAAACTCCTGAAAATTGCAAAAATTCCTGAAAAATGCAGAAATTGCAAAAATTCCTGAAAATTGCTAAAGTCGCAAATATTCGTGAAAATTGTGAAAAGTGCAGAAATCGCAAAAATTCCTGGAACTTGCGAAAATCGCGAAAATGCAAAAATTGCAAAAATTCTTGGAAATTGCAAAAATTGCAGAAATTGCAAAAATTCCTGGAAATTGGAAAAATTCCTGAAAATTGTGAAAATTTCAAAAATTCCTGAAAATTGGAAAAATTCCTGAAAATTGTGAAAATTTCAAAAATTCCTGAAAATTGGAAAAATTCCTGAAAAATGCAAAGATTGCAAGAATTACAGAAAATTGCAAGAATTGCAGAAATAGCAAATATTGCGGAAATTCCTAAAAATTATAAAAATTTCTGAAAATTGCAAAAATTCCTGAAAATCGCAAAAATCGCAAAAATTCCTGAATATTGCAAAAATTGCGAAAATTCCTGAAAATTTGAAAAATTCCTGAATTGTGAAAATTTCAAAAATTCCTGAAAATTTCAAAAATTCCTGAAAAATGCAAAAATTGCAAGAATTCCTGAAAATTGCAAAAATTGCAGAAATAGCAAAAATTGCAATAATTCCTGAAAATTATAAGAATTTCTGTAAATTGCAAAAATCGCAAAAATTCCTGAAACTTGCAAAAATTCCTCAAACTTGCAAAAATTCCTGAAAATTGCATAAATTGCAAGAATTCCTGAAAATTGCAAAAATTGAAAAAATTCCTGAAAATTGCAAAAATCACAAAATGCCTGGAAACTGCAATAATTGCAAAAATTCCGGAAGATTGTAAAAATTCCTAAAAATTCCTGAAAATTGCAAAAATTCCTGAAAATTGCAAAAATTGCAAAAATTGCAAAAATTGCAAAAATTGCAAAAATTGCAAAAATTGCAAAAATTGCAAAAATTGCAAAAATTGCAAAAATTGCAAAAATTGCAAAAATTGCAAAAATTGCAAAAATTGCAAAAATTGCAAAAATTGCAAAAATTGCAAATATTGCAAAAATTGCAAAAATTGCAAAAATTGCAAAAATTGCAAAAATTGCAAAAATTGCAAAAATTGCGAAAATTGTAAAAATTGCATAAATTGCAAAAATTGCAAAAATTGCAAAAATTGCAAAAATTGCAAAAATTGCAAAAATTGCAAAAATTCCTGAAAATTGCAGAAATTGCAGAAAAAGCAAAAATTGTAAAAATTCCTGAAAATTAGAAAAACTTCTGAAAATTGCAAAAATGTCTGAAAATTGCAAAAATAGCAAAAATTGCAAAAATACCTGAAAATTGCAAAAATTCCTGAAGATTGCGAAAATTGCAAGAATTCCTGAAAATCGCAAAAATTGCGAAAATTCCTGAAAATTTGAAAAATTCCTGAATTGTGAAAATTTCAAAAATTCCTGAAAATTTCAAAAATTCCTGAAAAATGCAAAAATTGCAAGAATTCCTGAAAATTGCAAAAATTGCAGAAATAGCAAAAATTGCAAAAATTCCTGAAAATTATAAAAATTTCTGTAAATTGCAAAAATCGCAAAAATTCCTGAAACTTGCAAAAATTCCTCAAACTTGCAAAAATTCCTGAAAATTGCATAAATTGCAAGAATTCCTGAAAATTGCAAAAATTGAAAAAATTCCTGAAAATTGCAAAAATCACAAAATGCCTGAAAAATGCAATAATTGCAAAAATTCCGGAAGATTGTAAAAATTCCTAAAAATTCCTGAAAATTGCACAAATTCCTGAAAATTGCAAAAATTGCAAAAATTGCAAAAATTGCAAAAATTGCAAAAATTGCAAAAATTGCAAAAATTGCAAAAATTGCAAAAATTGCAAAAATTGCAAAAATTGCAAATATTGCAAAAATCGCAAAAATTGCAAAAATTGCAAAAATTGCAAAAATTGCAAAAATTGCAAAAATTGCAAAAATTGTAAAAATTGCATAAATTGTAAAAATTGCATAAATTGTAAAAATTGCAAAAATTGCAAAAATTCCTTAAAATTGCAGAAATTGCAGAAAAAGCAAAAATTGTAAAAATTCCTGAAAATTAGAAAAATTTCTGAAAATTGCAAAAATGTCTGAAAATTGCAAAAATAGCAAAAATACCTGAAAATTGCAAAAATTCCTGAAAATTCCGAAAATTGCAAGAATTCCTGAAAATCGCAAAAATCGCAAAAATGCCTGAAGATTGCGGAAATTCCTGAAAATTGCAATAATTGCAAGAGTTCCGGAAGATTGTAAAAATTCCTGAAAATTGCACAAATTCCTAAAAATTGCAAAAATCGCAAATATTCCTTTTGCAATTTTCAGGAATTTTTGCAATTCTTGCAATTTTCAGGCATTTTTGCGATTCTTGCAATTTCCGCAATTTTTGCAATTTTCAGAAATTTTTCCAATTCTTGCAATTTTCTGGCATTTTTGCGATTTTTGCAATTTCCAGGCATTTTTGCGAGTTTTGCAATTTTCAGGAATTTTCAGGAATTTTCAGGAATTTTTACAATTTTCCAGAATTTTTGCAATTTTTGCGATTTTTGCAATTTTCAGGAATTTTGCAATTTTCAGGAATTTTTGCAATTTTCAGGAATTTTTGCAAATTTTCAGGCATTTGCAATTTTCAGGAATTTTTGCAATTTTTGTGATGTGACACTTCCCAACCTTCAATGACGTTAGTAATGACAACATTACATAATATGGTTGCGGATAAACTCTTTTTTCAGCCTTAAACAGAGAACCCTGAAAATATTCTAGATGAGAATTATGTTTCAGGTATCTGCACTGGGCTCCATCCAAGACGTGGTCTCCGAAACTTCCGTCGAATACTTCCAGAGGTTCCGCAGAGCCACCCACGTGACTCCCAAGTCCTACCTGAACTTCATCGCCGGCTACAAGAGCATCTACAAGAACACACAGAAAGAGTTGAGCGACGGTGTGCTCAGGATGGACACGGGGTTAGAGAAGCTGGCCGAAGCCTCTTCGTCCGTTCTTATTCTGAAGAAAGAGTTGGCCTTGATGGAGAAGGAATTGGCGGAGGCGTCAGAGAGAGCCGAAAGGGTGTTGACTGAGGTGACGGAAAGGGCCATGCAGGCGGAGATAGTGAAGAACCAAGTCCAGAAGGTAGATACAGATTTAGATATTTTTTTGAACATAAATGTAGTCAACACATCAAATTTAATGAAACGATATTTTTTGACGTGTGAGGAGGAACTAGTCGATTATCATATGGACGTTTCATCTGAAATGTATTCAAACATTCATTATTCAAGCTTTGTTCGAATCTACACTGATAATATAAAAAAGAGAGATTTGATTGTTTGTTTTGTATTGATAAGGCTCCGAAACTAGTGAACCAATTTGTATGAAAATCGATGGGGAGGTAGCTTAGAACCACGGGACTGCTATAGAACACTTTTTACTGCTGTAAATTCAAGATGGTGGATCCAAAATGGCAGATTTTGTGATTTTATTCTGGGTATCTATCTATCTGGAGGTTCTCGAGATCTAATATGGTGGACGAGCTCTGTCATTATGATCCGATTCTATTCAATATTGCTATCTAGAGATTTTTGAGATCAGGCATAATGATTCTTGCGTGAAAATTAGAAAATGCGAGATAACTTACCCAATAGGGCAGATGAGTTTTGGGATTTTCGGGGTCGGAGATTATTATTCCTACGTCAAAATTTGGAAATTCGGGCAGAATTTGGAAATTAGAGGTGGCGGAACCAATGTGGCGGACGAGTTTTGTAATTATAATCCGATTCTATTCAAAATTTGTAAGTGGGAGTTCTCGGTATCAGGAATCATGATTCTTTCGTCAAAATTCAAGATGGCGGATTCAGCATGGCAAACGAGTTTTGTAATTATGATCCCATTCTATTCAAAATTTTCATCTGGGATTTTAGGAGTTGGAGATTATGATTCTCTCGTCAGAATTCGATAATTCAAGTGAACTCAAAAGGAGAGGAAAATGAATATTAGTTTGAAAAACTGAATAAACATGCCAAACTAAAAAGAAGTAGGAAAAAAATATAATTTTATAGAAATAATGTAATTTATGCAAAACAAAGTTTTCGAGTTCAGCTAATTCTTTTCGAACTGAAAAGAAAACTGAGGATATTTTTGAACTCAAACGACATATACAGAGTGTTTCATTGGGGAAGGTTGATATTCCAATTTTAGATAGAGGTCACTGAGGAGATTTCAAATACCCTTTGTTAATGTTTCATCAATTTTGCCCATATCTTTATAGTCTCATAACTTCCCAACCAACCTGTAAATTGTTTCTCGAATTGGTACACTCACTCAATCTATCCTGTCGAATCAAATGAGGCATCAACATTAAATTGAATCCAGGTCTGGCTTCACATTGAATTAACAAACTCTATCGGCTCGTAAACAACATCCTATATCTACAATTGGGTTTCTCAATTCTCTTGCCATATCTGCCATATTTTTTCCAAGCGATTTGTTGCTCATGAGCGCAGCCCGAGAGAGAGTTTATGGAATTCGTATCTTGACAAAATGCATCTTGGTGACCACCCATGGTGACAGCAAATACCAAACTGAAATTTATGAGAATAGGTTTGAGGATGATTAACGATAATAAAACAAGAAATCGGGGGAGAACCCCAAGAAATTGTTGATACTGCCTCTGTAGTGACTCTCAACTCGCTACCACTCAAATCCAGAAATCTGTATGATCAGCTTATACTCGCTTCAGAAAATGCGCAGATCTATGCGGATAATGTGAAGAAGGTATAGACTGCCTAGGAAGAAGATATGTCACATTATCTTCTTAGGGAATGATACGCCACTTCTACCCCTCTTTTCTTACCGGTGAAACTAACCTAACCTAACCCTATGCTATCATGGCTCTGGTTACAGATTAATGAACTTTGAGAATATCTGCGTTTCTTTCAGTACCTATAACATTGATCACCCATCCAGAATTATATCTGATATTTCTCGGACGAATTCCAGGTGAAAGAGAAAGCCGAAATACTGGTGACGAGCATCGCCGCGGAGAAGGCCAAAGCTGAGGAGAAGTTGGAAGCAGCAAAGCCGGCCCTGGAAGAAGCAGAAGCGGCCCTCAACACAATCAAGCCTGCGCACATCGCCACCGTCAGGAAGCTAGGCCGGCCGCCGCATCTGATCATGCGCATCATGGACTGCGTGCTGATTCTGTTCCAGCGGCGGCTGCAGCAGCCGGTTCCTGACCCAGCGACCGCTTGTCCCAAGCCGTCGTGGGCCGAATCACTCAAGGTGAATATTTCCATCATTTACCGAGAAAGTATCAATACGGCAGTTCGGCTCTGAGACGCGTTAAAATCCAGAAAGACGATGAATTGCCTGAATTGGATTTGATGCATTCAATTTTAGGCTTTCGTACATGATATCATCACAACAATAGTTCAAAATGTCTTCCTACAACCTGAATACATAGATTTGAACGTCGCACATGAAATTGGCGGACTCGTTTTGAATAATTTCAAATGTTGCTGTAATTCATCTGATCAAGTCTTGATCTGTTTCTACTGGAGTTTCGTAGACCAAAGGATGAACATGTCTTCACTGAAAATAACCTAGCGGCAATAAATCGGGTGACCTAAGAGGCCAAGTAACTGCTTCACCTCTGGCAATCCAACAGTGCATGCCCAAACGGCTGAGCCATATCCTCACGTTCTGAAACCATATATTTGCTGTCGAACGTTTAGTGGAACAACAAGAAGTTCTGGAAGGACTTCTTTCAAGAAACGCCGGTAAATAGGTCCTGTTAACCGTTCCGGTAGAAGGTATGGCCCAATCGAATTATCATCATCAATGCCTGCTCATACGTTGAAAGACCAACGTTTGCTGATGTTTCCTAGGAAAAATTGCATGAGGATTTTTTCCGTTTCAAACATGGCATTCCTAATATTGATAATACTGTCTCTTGTGGAAGAGGCTTCATCGATCTTTGAACCCATCAGAACACAGTAGAGAAAACATCAAGAATATATAGCCCCTATTATACAGGGTGTAACTGAATAAGTGTAAAACATTTAAGGAGGTGATTCCTCATCGAAAAAAAGATAGGATCTTTTATATAAAGAAACTTCATTGGAGCATCCCTTGTTAAGATACAGCCCCTTAAAGGGGGTACATAAAATTTGTATAACAATTTTTTTCACAAGCACTGAAAAAGTTACAATATTGAAATTAACCTGACAGCGTCATACCAATTTAATTGTCACTATCGCTAATAGCGACCTACTAGATAGATTAGTTTCGTATTTTCGCATTTATGACGATGTATCTCTGTAGTTGTTCGTAAAATAATGTTTTGCTGCTTACTGGTTTATTTTGGGCAAAAAACCCAAGAGAAATTTTTTGTTTAGAATGAAACAGGCTATCGGAAATAAATTTTTAAATGGTAAACAAATAATAAGACAAAAAGTTACATTGGAAATAAATTTTAGGGGTTGCGTTTTTCACCCCTTACAACCATGGGGTAAACCAAATAAATTACTGGCTAAGTGTCTTTTTGGTAGTACAAAACGTCAGGTTAATTTCAATATTGTAACTTTTTCAGTGTTTGTGAAAAAAATTGTTATACAAATTTTATGTACCCCCTTTAAGGGGCTGTATCTTAACAAGGGATGCTCCAATGAAGTTTCTTTATATGAAAGATCCTATCTTTTTTTCGATGAGGAATCATCTCCTCAAATGTTTTACACTTATTCAGTTACACCCTGTATTATGTGCTGTTCTGATGACTTGTGAAACGAATAGGTCGCCAATTTTTTCTCAATCTGTAGATGATGGCTTCCACAACTTTCCTGCTCCAATTGCAAAACTACCCGAAGGACATCATCAACAACGAGATGGTGGAACTGCTGGCTCCCTACTTCGAAATGGAGGACTACAACATGGACACGGCCAAGCGAGTGTGCGGAGATGTAGCAGGTCTGTTGTCGTGGACCAAAGCGATGGCTTTCTTCCACAGCGTCAACAGAGAAGTGCTGCCACTAAAAGCGAATCTGACGATGCAGGAGGCCCGATTGAAGGTAAAATAGCAATTAACTATCATTTGAAAGGGTTAAAAAACACAAAATGATTTCCACCGCATTTGATGATCGGATGAATATTCAGAGAAACATGCTTCGGAAAGTCATGTGTCCATCATCAGCCCTAATCCTTACAAACCAAAGGTCGTGGGAATAAAAAAAATTATGGAAAACTTTGAATAACATCATTATGCAAAGCACTGTTATATTTTTGAATGACTCGGCCGTTACTAAACTTGATGTGAATCCATGGCAAATGTGGAAACTCCACAAACTATAAGATTTTCACAAAATTCTCATGCAATCCTCTCAAGATAATCCGGTACACCGTATTTTGATGTAGATATTATATCTATTTCACGGAAATAAAGGTTAATCGAATTTGTCCACGAGTAGTTCTGATCCTTCAGGTTGGGAGAGTAGGATATATAAAAGTTAGACAAGCCAAGGTTGGTTTAGTTCATTGTACCAGTATTTGACTTGATAAAGCTACTGTTTGAGCAAAACATGTTGTTCATCACTCAAATACCTTTCAATTTCATAGTTTTCCAGAATTTTTCGTTCAGTTCCAAGATGCTAAAATCAACAATGATGCCACGGTAATTTTCAAACGGCTGAAAATGTACCGCGAGTAGAGTATGTGGGGGCAAACCATACAATAGTGGCCATATGTTGAAATACGTTTGACACTTCAGAAATATTAATTATTCGATAATCCATAAATCAACTCCACCTGTTGGAGTTTGTCGACTCACTCGCCGAGAAAATGAAGTGACGTGCGGCAAGTGGGGTTATCCTCTATTCCCATAAGGTGTTAGGTGTCTGCCTAGCCTGTTATGTCCTGTGAGTACTCCTACGAGGAGGCGGAGTACTTGTCGGTCTCTGCCAAACAGCCAGTCCCTCCTCGATTTGCTCGGACCGGTCAGGAACTCCTTGGCCTGCCTGCGACCTATGATATTCTTACAGTATTCTCCTAGTGCCTTGTCTGCCCATTCGTCAAAGGCTGACGTAGTTTGGCTCCTTGCTATACCTAGTACAGGCTCCTGTTTCAGAAACGGCTCCGCGGATCCGGCCCCTGGCAAGTTCGTCTGCTGTTTCGTGTCCGGGCCCTTCTCTGTGACCCGGGACCCATACCAGTTCAACTTCCTTTGATTCGGCTGATATCTCAAGGGCATTTCCACATTCCGGTGCTAATGCCGAGCTTGGTCTGGGATGACAGATAGCCTGCCGCCTGACTATCCGAACAAATGTAGATCTTCTGCTCTGGTCCCTCTTTCACCTCTTGCCTCTCTGCCACGACCAGGATGGCAGGCACCTCAGCTTGAAAAACTGTGGTGTATTTTCCTAGAGCGTAGCGTCCTCGCATGTTTCTCCCTTCGAGATAGATCTCTGCGCCCGAGGTCTGTTTGTTAGTGTAACATACTGAGCTTCCTAAGCGGAATTAACTCAACTTCATAGCGTCTTCATTCTTCTCTGCTTGGAATAGTGAGTTTGAACTTTCTATTCCATCTCAGCCTGTCTTGCACTCTATTTACTCTGAGAGTGGAGTCCCGCATCCTCAGGTGGGCCGCCATTGCCTCCTTCTTTCTCCAGATTTGAAGCGGTGGTAGAATCTGACATGCCTATAGCTATAGTAGATACGATCGCACGGACCGTATGAGATGACTTCGAAGGACATATAACGAGTATAATAATAGGCAAGTGAAGATACTTCGAGAACATCAGTCTGCACACTGTATCTCTGTATTCTATCACCTCACATGGATTCCTCTGGAGCATATCAGTTCGCATCGATCATATGAGACGACATCAAAACGGGTTTATACGCACACAACAGGCAGAACAAGAAACTTCGACTATATATACACTGTAACTTTGCATTCTAACAACTGACATGCCTACAGTTATAGCAGATTCGATCGCACTGACTATTTAGGACGACTTCGAAGGACATATAACGAGAACAATAGGCAAGACATCAGTCTGCACACTGTATCTCTGTATTCTTTCATCTCACATAGATACCTCTGAAGCATATATGTTCGCAACGATCATATAAGACATCATATAAGACGACATCATATAAGACGACATCGAAGCGGGTATAACGCACACAACAGGCATAACAAGAAACTTCGACTCCGATTATGATTACACTGTAACTCCGCATTTTTGCATCTGACAGCAATAGCAGGTACGATCGCACTGACCATATAAGACGACTTCGAAGGACATATAACGAGAACAATAAGAAAGTGAAGATACTTTGACTCATTGCACCTGTTATTGCTAGGCATGCCATCCTCTCACCTTTTTCAGGTTTCGACCTATCGTACTAGTTATTGCGCATGGCCACCACACTGCCGACCCATAATGGATTTTTATTGGTCTTACGACTGCTGTGTATGAACAGCCAGCGCATAATCTTGGGGTTAATACCCCAAGTTTTTTCTACAACTCCCTCAGTTTCCATAAGATAGCCATCGACTTTTGCACTACTCTGTCCGCATGCGGTCTTCATGAAAGTCTGGAGTCCAATACCACCTCCAGGTATTCGACCTGTTGTACTAATGCTATGGCCAATCCTGATGGGTGACTTGAACCCATCCCTTTTCCTTCGTTTCTTGAACAGGATCATCTGAACTGTAGCAATGTATCAGGTGTCTCACTTTCTTCACTAATGACTCGATTCGTTCGAACTTTGAGGTGGCGATGGAAGATTTAGCAGCAGCCGAGCAACAGCTCGAGGACCGCGAGCAATCCTTGAGAGAGGTGAAGGAGCAGTACGACTCGGCGGTGACGGAGAAGCGTCGTCTGACAGAGGCGGCGAATTCGTGCCTGAGGAAAATGAATACAGCCACCGCTCTCATCAACGGATTGGGCGGAGAGAAGGTCAGGTGGACGCAGCAGAGCAAGGAGTTCAAGGAACAATTGGGTACGCAGTAATGACATAAACATCATCTAGACCGCTTATTCCATGAGAAATAAATATAACTTTAAAACACCTAAGAAACACGCTTCAATCAATAGCGAAACTAGAGGAAAGAAAACAAATAGTTATTTATTATACAAGGACATTAAGTAGTAGATTTCAGCTCCAGGTTGTGTTGTCACAGGAAACCGTGAGCTGAAATCAAAAATTTTTCTCGTGTATAATACACTATTTTTTTCTGTGACAGATAAGAGCACGAATCAATATAGAATATTACATTATGATAAAATCAGATAATCATCGACTTAAAACTCGATTGTCATGGGTATTGGCAGCAAGTGGGGTTCAAGTGCTCCCACTTGCATCCCCTAGTCAAAATAGAAAATACATGGAGGTTACAAGTTGCTGTCTGAATTCGTTTGTTAGTTTGATATAACATTTGAAAGTAATCCGATTTTTTCAGTTTGGTATGTAGTTAGTATGTTTGTATGTTTGTAACAAAATCTTTAGACGTGATTTTGACCCACTTCAAAATGGTGAATTGAATTGGAACTCTGTATGTACACTTCTCTTGGGCCGATGACAATCAGTTGAACATAATTTTATAGTTTCAATAATCAATATTAATGAGTAAGACTCAGGCTATAGTACACAATTTATTCATTAAATAGCAACTCGAACGTTTTTGGCACTAGGCCATCATCAGGAGAGTAGGTACCTGAGAAGTGATTTTTTTTACGGGTACAGTATACAGTGTCATTCATAAAGTCGGCATCATATGGGAAAAACTTTTATTATTGACTTATTTTGGAATTCGAGTTGGACGTTAAGTTTTGCTTCAAAAAAGACGAAAAATGGCCTACTCAATCGGGGTCACCTGACTTTCGCTACATGTCAAAAGTGATATTTTTTCAAATTAATCGCTGAAAGTAGGCTTATTAATTCGAATATCGAAAAAGTTAACTCAAAAAAGTTGTTTCTATTTCAATTTTACAAATGTTTCCCGGATTTGATCTTCCTATTGCAACTTTTAGATTTTGATTTTTCTTTAATCTTTCGAAATTTCTGTAATATTTGAAAAATTGTTAATTCCACGAAACTACTTCATACCATGAGCTTTTTCATGCTACTCACTTTCAATTACTTATTATGACTGATTATGGACAGAAATATGATTTTCTTCAGAAAATGATAATACCCGCTTCCAAATTCTGTTATGTTTGATGCAAAGTTGATATATCGTCAAGCAATTAGAAACGAAATTCATTCAAACTGATCTTTTCAGTACTGAAAGAATAAATTTAATGAAGTTCGTTTCTAAATGCTTGACTCAAACATAACAGAATTTTGAAGAGGAGATTATCATTCTGATTGATTGTCTTTATATTACCGCAAGAAACATTTCTGTTTATGATAGGGATACATAAATACATATAAAAAAAATAATAAAGGGTTAACTATAATGAATTCCACTCAGTGGAAACGAATTAATATTGTGTCTTATAAGATTAAAGTTATATTTCCTTCCTAAGTAATCAAATCATGCCACATATTTTTCTCTCAAATTGTCCTGAGCAAGTATTTTTTGAGATTGATTTCAAACCTTCTTGCATCATGTATATTTTTCAACTCATTCGGTGATAAATTGTATAAAATTATTCCATTGTGAAAAACAGACTGTTTGCCAATGTTTGACTTGAATGTATTTGCTATCAAGTAATTCAATTGTCTAGTCCCATAATTATTTACTGTATTGACTTCATTGAAAGCTAAATTTGATATTTTCTGAAGAATATCATATTTTTGTCGATAATTAGTGATAATTAGTTATTGAAAGTTAGTAACATGATGAAGCTACTGGTATGAAGTACTTTTATCGAATTTACAATTTTTTTAATATTACAGAAATTTCGAAAACTTTTAAAAAATATCGAAATTTAAAAAATGTGATAGAAAGATAAAATCCGAGTCACATATGTAAAATTCAAATAGAAACAACTTTTTCAAGTAAACTTTTTCGATATTCGAACAAATAAGCCTACTTTCAGCGATTAATTTGAAAAAATGTCACTTTTAACATGTAGCGAAAGTCACGTGACCCTGATTGAGTAGGCCATTTTTCATCTTTTTTGAAGCAAAACTTGACGTCCAACTCGAATTTCAAAATAAGTCATTAATAAAAGTTTTTCCCATATGATGCCGACTTTATGAATGACACTGTATATGTGAAAATTTGAAATTAACATTAATTTGTTAATGTCAGAAGAAAATCGTTGAATTAATCAAAAACTCACTTGTCACATAGTCTTGCAGAAGTTGAGCATTACCTTTCAACTCATAACTTCAAAATACCATGTCATCACTGTTCAGCCTCTTCGTAGCTTCGTTCCCAATACTATGAAGTTTATTCATCTCCCTCAGGTCGACTTGTCGGTGATGTTCTTCTGGCTACAGGCTTCCTATCTTACTGCGGTCCTTATAACCAGGAATTCCGCGCCAACCTGGTCAAAACCTGGATGGACATACTACTCTCTCGTTCCATCCCCTACACCGTCAACCTCAATATCATCAGCATGCTAGTGGAAAACGCCGTAGTATCAGAATGGACACTACAGGTGAAGATCTAGAATTAATTTCCCGTCATTGTATGAATGATTACCGGAAATATGATCGGAAACGATTTGATCGAAATCAGTTGATTGAACATCAATTGTTCAAAAGTCAATTGATCGACAAATTAACTGATCAAAAAATCGAATGATCGAAATACAGTTTCATCAAACTTAGAGCATAGAATGAACATATTATATGACATGCGTCATTGCCTCATAGATGCCTAACTATTTTACGTATTACAGGCAATCAGCGTAACTCCGTTTTCAGCAGTTAAATTGTTTGCCGAAACGTGGAGGAAGGAGAACATCCTTTCTGCATAAGCATCAAGAAGGAGACTTATTCTCCCAAACAATCTAACCTAACCCATATAACACACGTACATTCTATGGATATCCGATGGATGTTCCCAGTGAACATTACGAATATCCATTGGACATCCGATAATGTCCAGAAAGACATCCAATGGATATCCATCGGACATCCATTTTGTCACAAAATTGGTAATTCAATGAATGTCCATATCGATACAGGTGGAGAGTGAAAAAAATATTCGGTGGCGTACCGGAACCCGCGATATTTGGCATTTTTAGCAGGTACGCTATTCACTGGCCACATAAGTCTGATAATGATTTGAAATGCTCATTCATTTTTCTGAAATCACTGAGTGCTGGGCCGTATTCACTATACTACGAATAGACATTTCATTCAAGAGGGCATATTCCGCAGTTCTTCTGCCAATAAAATAGGTACCGCTCCAAGAGTTCTGCTGCCTTCAACTTTTTTTATATCACAAGGAATCACAAATATAATAAACTCACTATTCGAATGTGAAGAATCAATTGATTAGCAAATGGTATATACAGTGTGACCCATTTAAAATGGAACCACCCCTGTATCTTACGTAATCGTTGGGTAAGGATCCTAAAATTTGCTGGAGCGAGAGATATACCAAAAATGCACTCTATGACCAAGTGGGGTCATCTTCAGTGATATACACTGCTCGCCAACAGCCATGAAACTACCCCAATTTCCGGAAAATGATATTAGGAGTCAAAATAGGTCGACAATCACTTCAGATTTGGGATCAGGACGCACAATTTACTAACTATTCAAATTTTTCCTGGAAAATTTTTAGTTCGGAAAAATGGAATTTTGTCGCATTTTTTATGGAAGCACACCCGTATCTCACGTAATTATTGAGGTAGGGTTCTGAAATTTGCCGGAGGAAGAGAAAGTCCAAAGATAAAGTCAATTAAGTGAGATACGGAGGTGCTTCCATAAAAAAAGCGACAAAATTTCATTTTTCCGAACTGAAAATTTTCCAGGAAAAATTTGAATAGATAGTAAATTGGGCGTCCTGATTCCAAATCTGAAGTGATTTTCGACCTATTTTGACTCCTAATATCATTTTCCGGAAATTGGGGTAGTTTCATGGCTGTTGGCGAGCAGTGTATATCACTGATGATGACCACACTTGGTCATAGAGTACATTTTTGGTATATCTCTCGCTCCAGCAAAGTTCAGGATCCTTACCCAACGATTACGTAAGATACAGGGGTGGTTTCATTAGAAGTGGGTCACACTGTATATCGCGATATATTTTGATTTGGCGAAAGGGTGCGTACATAGAAAGTCCAATGGACGTCCATCATTCAAGTAAATCTTCAGGTTCAGTACGATCATGAACTGAATTTTCAGGGACGGATGTCCATTGTAGTATTGGTTAATGGACATTTATTGGATGTCCATTCAGTGTCCATGTCAATATGGACCAAGCATCATATGGATATCCTGTGTTTACTGAGTACTCGGCCGAAATCAACTTTTTTCCTAGAACGTATATTTTCCTAAAAATAGCTTGAGAGAATGAAAGAGACTATACTATTCCTGATCAACCGAAATCTTGTCTGAAGTTTGTCTCGTCTTTGTAACCAAATCTGATATAAATTCTGACATTGTATATAATGTTGATCACTATATAGTTATGCTTAAGGTTATACTTCTATACATATACTAGGGTCCCCTGATGGAAATTGACGTTGAAGTCATCTTAAACATATACTAAACTATGCAAACATTTGTGTTCGATCAAAATCTAGTTCGATCAATTGATATTCGATCAAATGGAGTTTGATCTAATGATTTCGATCACATTTCCGGCAACCTATCTGAATATCGTTCATTTTGTGTTGAGGGCTTGCCCAACGACGAACTCTCTGTCCAAAACGCCCTCATCGTCACCAAGTCAAGGTCGTATCCCCTGCTGATCGATCCTCAGGCCCAAGGCAAGATGTGGATCAAAAACAAAGAGGCCAACAACAACTTGCAGATCACCTCGCTGAACCACAAGTACTTTCGCACTCACCTCGAGGACTGCCTGTCCCTGGGCAGACCTTTACTCATCGAGGACATCGACGTCGACCTGGACCCGGTCCTGGACAACGTCCTCGAGAAGAACTTCATCAAGTCGGGGTCCATCGAGAAGGTGATAGTGGGCGACAAGGAATGCGACGTCATGAAGAACTTCATGCTTTACATCACGACGAAGCTGCCCAATCCGCCTTACTCGCCTGAGATCAGCGCCAAAACTTCTATCATCGACTTTACGGTTAGTTCAGTACACGAACAAAAAATAATAGGAAGAAACTGTGTAGTCGCAAATTTTGCTGAAGCGGAAGGAGGAAGTACCATGAACAACATTATATCCATTTCTCACGTACAATGAATAGTTTATGAGGACCAGGGTATAACAAATCGATAAGAAACGAACATTGAGTCTAATGGTACAGTATTTAACGTGAATATTAACATGAGAAATACATTACGCTCTCAATCCTAGTCCTAAAATCATTAAATTACCCAGTAGGCTACAGCTGACCCGGCAAACGTTGTTTTGCTATGTACATTATTTCTGAAAAATATTTTTCCGATTGAATTATTGCGAAGATCATGGAGAAAGCTATCAACATCGAGCTCATGGAATACCTGGAACATTCAGGTATTATCAACGATAGGCAATATGGCTTTCGTCATCAGAGATCAACTGGTGACCTGCTCGTTTACGTCTCACATATATGGCAACAATCTATTGAATAATATCGTGAAACCTTAGCCGTCGATCAATTGATATTCGATCAAATGGAGTTTGATCTAATGATTTCGATCACATTTCTGGCAACCTATCTGAATATCGTTCATTTTGTGTTGAGGGCTTGCCCAACGACGAACTCTCTGTCCAAAACGCCCTCATCGTCACCAAGTCAAGGTCGTATCCCCTGCTGATCGATCCTCAGAATTATTGCGAAGATCATGGAGAAAGCTATCAACATCGAGCTCATGAAATACCTGGAACATTCAGGTATTATCAACGATAGGCAATATGGCTTTCGTCATCAGAGATCAACTGGTGACCTGCTCGTTTACGTCTCACATATATGGCAACAATCTATTGAAGAATATCGTGAAACCTTAGCCGTGGCACTTGATATCTCCAAGGCATTCGATCGAGTCTGACACCACGGACTCCTCGCCAAGCTTCCATCTTATGGCTTGCTTCCCGAGTTATGTTCTCTGCTAGCTAGTTTCCTCTCAAACAGGTCTCTTCATGTAGTGGTCGACAGAGTTTCATCTGACTCTCTTATCATAAATGCTGGTGTTCTGCAAGGATCAATTTTAGCACCAACACTATTTCTATTCCATATCAACGATTTGTTGAAAGCAACTTCGTATCCAGTACACAACTTCGCGGATGATGGTACCCTCCATACCGTCTTCTCTTCCAGGGCTCCAATACCAGCCGGGCAAATCAGAAACGAACGAGGAAGGAATGTTGACAACATCAATATGGACTTGACAACAATTCTTGAATGGAAGTCCAATACCTTGGTAGATTTCAATGCAAACCAAATGCCTTTTCCCTAAAAAAGCCGATCTCACTGTGCCCAACATGAGCTTTGTTCGACCATACCTTCGAAGACATCCATTTTGATGCTTGGTATCACTATCAGCAATAACCTTCCTTAAGAAAATCACGTGAGATCAATTGCTGAAAGTGCATCCCAAGAACTTGGTTTTCTGTTTCGGGCCAGGATCTATTTCCCTTTCAGTCCGCTGATTACGATCTATGAGGTACAGATCCGACCTGTCTTGGAATACTGTTCCCATACTTGGAGTGCAGCACCCAAACATACCTCGGAACTGTTGTTGGATTCTGTCCAAAAAAGAGCAGTTCGTCTCGTGATGCCTCGCTCACAAACTCACTCACTTCTCTGGAACACCGTAGAAAAATTGGCGATCTGGCTCTATTTTATAGATATTTTCATGGACAATGCTCTTCTGAAATATCAACAATTGTTCCTTCCTTGGCAGTCCCCGCGAGATTAACCCGTCGAGTTGAGGCATCGCACCCCTTCGTGGTCACTTTGGAGACCTGCAGAACATCTCTTCCCAAAGACTCGTTCATCCAACGAACAGCAAGGCTCTAGAACACATTGCCAAGGAAGGTGTTTTCCGAGGCATATAATCTCCAGAAATTTTAGAAGAACACCAATTCCTACATTATGTCCCTTGGTTCTCACGATGTTCTCTGAACATTACAGGATACCCATTTTCGTGGGAACCAGAACATAAAAAAAATAAGAATTATTTCAACAGCACACTTTCATCATTTTATTTACTATTTCTGTTTATTTTGGCTAACTATAGGCGTCAGTTTTCCTAGTTTTTCAAACTACTATTCATTTTCTACTTCTTCACAGTTCGGTATTCTATCTCTCTAGTTTCCCAAAATTGCTTACTATGGCCTAATGTCAGCAATATCGGAACATGACTCCAACATTTTCTGATGGTCAATAATTGAACTAGGTCACGATGCTGGGATTGGAAGACCAGCTGCTCGGCAGGGTCATCTTGATGGAAAAGTCTGATTTGGAGGCGGAACGGGTGGCTCTGTTTGAATCGGTGATGCAGAACCAGCGGAGGATGAAGGAGCTCGAGAGCAATCTGCTGAGTAGGCTGAATTCCACGCAGGGCTCTTTGGTGGACGATGAAGAGCTGATCAACGTTCTGCAGGTGAGCAAAAAATTAGTTGAAGGATGAATCTTCCGAAGCAGGAAGCTTACCTAACAATACAGATAATTTGATTCAGTTGTATCTATCAAGAGCTGATTGAGGTTTCTTGAAGGTCTTCTTTTATGGTCATTGCCCTCTTGGACAACCGCAATCTCTTACTCAACTAACTTACATAATTAGTATGTGAAGCAAAGATGAGCTCAAGAAATAGACCATCATCACATTCATGCAATAATTATATATAATAAGTTGTATGTTGTGTGAAAAATGACAGTGCGATGAGGAAAATAATACCTATATAAAAAATAAATATCTAATAAAGATTTGTCAACAGTAGATTATAAATTTTTCATCGTTATATACTTCTTAGGTAACGAAATCGACGGCAGAAGAAGTCACCCAAAAGTTGTCTGTTTCCGTGCACACCGAGAAGAAGATCAACGTGGCCAGGGAGGAGTTTCGAGCCGTCGCCGCCAGAGGGTCAATTCTGTATTTCCTCATCGTGGAGATGAGCAACGTCAACGTGATGTATCAGAATTCGCTGAAGCAGTTTCTGATATTGTTCGATAACTCGATAACGAAATCAGAGAAAAGTACAGATACAAGCGAGAGAATCGATATTATTCTCAGGTATCTGACGCATGAGGTGAGACTTCTTCTTCATCAGATGCATTTTATGCATTGAAGATTTTGACCAATATGCAATTCACATTAACCTGAATAAATATTTCATTCAATTGGTGTTCAAATACCAACAAACTTGCCCAGATCATGGTCATAAGTGTGATTGATGCTCTCATCACTCCTCTACTACAAAAACAGCATTTATCTACAGCTATGGAGTCATTCATACATTGCTAACTCGATTTTCAACATTTGATGACAGAAATTATTGTGATGTATCGAGTAATGAGAGTATTGGTGACTGTAGGATGGCGTAATGACCTGACATCCCATCGTCTTGTCAAATTCAACTAGGTAGGTATTCTTTATACTAGTTCTACTAAAGCAAATCACTATACTATATACTTACTACTTACATGGTTTTCATAGTTTTAATCACCTTAATTCTACAAATACACGAGAAAATTAGAATTCACTGTTTTCCATTCTCAACAGTGACTACCATCATGAGTAACCATAACCATAAAATAGGACTTGACACTTGACAATTGCAGATTGGCTCACACTTATGTACGTGCTATTTGAATAGATTAATACAGACCAATCATAATCATGGAACTTCATTGTTTATAACTAGAGTCTAGAGACAGGGTACTACAATTAATGATCGAGGTGGGGGAATGCTACAGCCGTGAATAATCTGCAATAGTATGATTCATTTCACAACTAAAAAGTGGAATGACATATAATACCTGGTGGGATTTATTTATTTATTTATTTATTTATTTATTTATTTATTTATTCATTTATTTATTTATTTATTCATTTCAGTTATTGCATTACATCCTCTTCTTCATTGATACATTTCATACAAATAATATAATAATATAATAATAAAGTATAATTAATTTTCTAGTAGGAATGACATGAATGATCAGACAGTAATTCCTGGTATAAGATCATTCATGAAGTATTATCGACTGTTGTATAATTGAAATTACAAATAGTGAACAAAACTTACATATCATTACGATACAGTCATATCATAGTGAACAAGAAGGGGAAAAATAAAAACAGTGAAAAAAAAAACAAAAAAGGAAATTCATAGTCTTTCAGCTTTGATCATTCCTTTGCATATACATATATTTCTTAACTTCATTTTTGAATTGCATAATATTAGGGCTGTTTTTGATATCATCTGGTAATTTATTGAATTTCGAAATCGCCTCATGTGTAAACTTTTTTTGCCCAAGTTTAGAATTTCCAGCTTCAAGATGAAACAAGTTATATTGTCTAGTGTGATGATCATGAATTTCGGAATTCCTGATAAATATAAAATGTGATTTAAGCTTTTTGTTATAATAGAAAATTTTGAGAGTATTGATTAAAAAGTGCTCTTCCAAAGAAAATGTGTTTGTTTCCTTATACAGTTGATTCGTTGGAGTATCATATGGAAGACGATACAATACTTTCAATGCCTTTTTATATAGAACAGAAATTTTGTTGAAACTATTTTTGGAACAAGATCCCCAAATATTTATGAGATAGTTAATTCGACTGAGTATATGTGAATAGAGAATGATATTTGATGTATATGTACTAAGTTTAGGACATCTTCTCAAAGCACCAATAATGGGAGATACTTTTCCTATGAGGATGTCAATATGCTTTCCCCATGTTAATTTCTCATCAATCCAAAGCTGTTCGTTGATTGAAATTTTTGTCCATAAGTTCTCGATGAAATCAATGAGTATTTCATATCAGATTTAGTGATTTTGCAATATAATAACCTTCATCATTTCCAAAGATATATTCCTGAACTCTCAGAGTAGCTTTGATATTTGAATAGTTGTAGATAAAGTATAGTATTCTACTCGCACATAATGACTTTCACCCACTGAGATGATTACAGCACTTACCTTCGGCTCGAATTGCAACTTTCATCTTCGTGGGTAATAGCCCTCATTATGCGCTCGTTGAATAATATACTATTTTTGGTTGCTAGTACCTACTACACGCTTGTCGAGTTAAATTTCTAACTCCATGAATCATTTCTCGAAAACGTGGTTGTTATGTTCTTTAGCTTTTGCTTTCATGCCACTGCGAAAAATCAACCGATTTCGTTCAGTAGCTGATTTAAACTTCAGTGACGCATATTGAGAAAGTATATCGAATCTGGTCGATTGATATTCTTGTTCAGAGAGTCGTTTGAATGTTGTTCAATTTTTTTCAGGTGTGGGTTTTTACACAACGTAGTCTGTACGAACGCCATAAATCTCTATTCACGCTGATGATGGCGATCAAAATCGACTTGCACAAGGGCCTTATAAGTCACGAGGAGTTCATGGCCTTCATCAAGGGTGGAGCGTCATTGGATTTAAACGCAGTCGCTCCAAAACCTTTCAAGTGGATCCTGGATATAACCTGGCTGAATCTTGTTGAAATCAATAAACTTTCGACATTTACCGAAATATTGACAAAGGTGAATGAATACCTCCGAGGAATTTAATACAAAATAGAAAGAATTTTCATCTCAATTACTTATTAATAGTCAATAACATGTGATTATGACACGGTTCGATGGAGGGCATACAAACTATCTGTTGGGTATAGGTATTATTTTTCATAAGCATAGCCCTGCCCAAGAAATAATTCTCTGACCTCATCCAGAATACAATAACATACCAAACAAAATCATGAAATTCATTTGGGTTCCAACTCGGGTTCCAAGGGAAACAATCCCATTACTTCTGGTTTCATATGGCGAAATACAATGTTTGCCCTCCAATGACCTGTCAAATGACGTACCTAATTCTGGAAATATTCATTTTGACACTTGTTTATGATATCTATATTCATTTCTGTTTTTTATTTCCAGATTGAAGCCAACGAGAAAGATTGGAAGTTATGGTATGAAAAAGAGAAACCTGAAGAAGAAGATTTGCCATGTGGCTACCAGAAGAATTTGGATGTGTTCAGGAAATTATTACTCATCAGATCTTGGAGTCCTGACAGAACTCTGTCACAAGCACGAAAATATATCATGGGTAAAGTGAACATCCAGCATATGGAGTGAAACATCTAGATTTCCATATTTTTCAGATTCATTGGGGAACGAGTATGGAGAACCGTGCATCTTGGATTTGGAGGTCACGTGGAGCGAATCTGAACCAAGATCACCGCTTATCTGCATCCTGTCCATTGGATCAGACCCATCACCCCAAATATCCGCCTTGGCTAAGGCGAAAGATATCCGTAAGTGTCAAAAAAATTCCATGCCAGCTTCTACCCGCGGCTTCATTCGCGTTGAAGCACTCAAACAAACATCAATAAAGACGCTTTCGTACGAAAATATTTTTCTCAATTTACGGTATGTTGTAGTTCATGTGGTTCTATGAAATATTATCCCAAGTCACCTCCAAAAATGGACAGTTGAATTCACATTTTGATCGAATTGACCATTTATTTATGAGAAAACGGACGATATTCCAAAACTCTCCATTCCATTTGATTACTTCTACAAATAGATTCTTATAAAAAAATATAATGAGGGGGAATTATTACCCCCAACACCCATTCTGGAAACCTAAAAAATAATCCCATCTAACTGTCGAAAGTGATAGGAAATGTTTCATCACGGATAATTATGGAAACCGCATTTTTGAATTATCACCCCCTATCAAATGGAGGGTGCAAATAAAAAAAAATTGGTGGATTCCGCTGATTTTTTTGATATAATGTAGTCCATATGATTCTGATCAGAAAATCATCAGGTGAAAAATTCACTGTTTTTTTGCTATAAGGGGTTTCAATCCACATTTTGAAAAAAATAGACAATCATTTGATTCTGAATAAAAAGACAATTATTTTCAATATTGTATTCCTATGCCCAACAACCAAAAAAAAAATCCGCGCTACTGTTAGAAGCATATGAATGTTTAATCACGAGAAATTATATGGAAGAAGCTCTCTTGCATGATTGCCCCGAGAAAATGGGAGGGGAAGGGATGGGGCAGTTCACATTTCGATCAAAATAGTCTAGTCTAGATCTAGTCCTGTTATCGCCATCTAGTGACGCCAAAAAACTAATTCAAACGATTATTTCGATCAACGCAAAGCTAGCGGACTGATAATGAATCATTGGCATTCAATCACTCCACTGTGTCATTAGAGGGACCTAAATGAATTTTTGCAACACGTTTTTTTTATGTAAATAATGAGACTATGCTTTTTCCATATATATCTCTCGTGAGTAAACATTTTCATATGCTTTGAACAGTACGCGGATTTTTTCAAGGTGGTTGCCTTTTTATTCAGAATCGAATGGTAGTCTATTCCTTCCAAAATGTGAATCAAAACCTCCTATAGCAGAGAAACTGTCCATTTTTCATGATAGTCACCCGATGATTTTTTGATCAGAATCATATGGACTACTATAAATGGCTATTCCTGCTGTTGAGATATCCATATCTCGTGAAACATGCCTCATCAGTGAATACATATCTAGAGAAGTTATTTGCTGCCTAGTATTGCCCAGATAACCATTCACAAAAAAAACCTACAAGGACCAAAATCACCAGCATTTAGGGTCATATAGCATTCTGTAAGTGAAACGGATACAATTGTTGTTCACGTGCTACTCGACTAACTGTAGACTTAGAAACTTGCATATTATATGCGATTGCCCAAGAACTGGTAGAAGGATTTTCTGCTATAATCGGTCAAAAATGTCCTTCCTCAGTTTCACAAACACTTCCCAGCGAGCACAAAAACATCTCAGATATGTTGAAAGTACGAGATTTCGAGACATTGAACCTCCACTGCGATGTTCTGTTCACACATGAATAGAACTACGATAGAACAGCCAATGTCCGCCGCAGGCGGCAATTATCGAGATGTCCTTGATATGTCACAAAACTACCTTCTCCCTAGTTCTTTTTAAAGCCTTTTCATGGACACAACAAAACATTTTCAACATGTCTTGCGCACATCAAATCGCTGTAAAAAAAACATTTTCGAGGTATATTTCTGAAGCCTTTTGCATTAGGATTCCATTTCCCTTGAATGAAAAAATGCATTAAAAATAGATTGAACATAAAAATAATTTCTTGATATGAAATTACCTTCTTTATCGGTTTCTGAGTAGTGCTCACTACTCATACTCATATAATTGGAAATAGGTTTCCCAATTTTTGAAATGTTCTCCACAATGCATAATTTTGCAACTGCGGAGAAGCTGTGTATTGATAAATTCGTACTTTTATATATTGATTACACTGAGGCACCGAACAATACATCTTATTGCATCTGATGGTCATTATTACAAACTAAATATAAGTCTTCTAACACAATAAACTTCACCAAATTCCTTTCTGTTCGTTAGCAGCGTGATGTAAGCGTGACACGCTGCAAACGCGAATGCCAACTGCGAACAAGAAGAACAAAATCGAAAACAAATCAGAATTCATCGTATTGTGACGTAAGCATGAGACGTTGTGATGGGGCAAACAAAGAAAGGGCACAAAAGAACAAAAACAATACTTTCAATATCCTTCTGAGACCTTTTTGAGAAGTGCATATTACGCCTCAAAAAAACATCCTCCTGCCTACATTTCTAAAACATCCCAGAACATCCCAGGGATACCTCTCAGTAGGCAAACAAATAAATGCCACAGAAGAACAAAAAAAATACTTCAATATCCTTCAAAGATCTCTTTGGTCAGTGGATATTACGTCTCAAAATAACATCTTCATACCAACATTTCCAAAACATCCCAAAACATCCCAGGGATGTTTGTGCTCTCTGGGTTCATAGAGAGATGAGACGAGGTGCTGTCCGTACTCTGTTAAGAAAACTTTTTCATCAATTTGTAACAAGGGATCCTACATAGAACCAATTCGAGCGAATATGGGAAACTTGAATTCACTTCCACTCATCAAATGTTGATTCATCTGATATTTTGTGTAGCTCTCAAAGCGGTATCGATGGGCCAGGGCCAGGAGATCGTCGCCAGAGACATGTTGGAATTCGCGATGGCCAACGGCGGGTGGGTGCTACTACAGAACGTCCATCTGTCGCTGCCCTTTGCCACCGAGGTGATGGCCATCGTCGTGGACACGGCTACCGTACACGATTCCTTCCGTGTGTGGTTGACTACGGAGGTCAGTTGAATCAAGTACAATAATTATAATGATTATTATCGACTGAGCAAAGTTGAAAGCTGTGTTGATGCAATGTTGAAGAAATTACTGAAACGGACGTTTAGCAATATTGCAAAGGTGAAGTTCGATATTGTAGCGTTGCAGCAATATTACATGTTGCTGTGACATTGCTGTAACTTTACATTCATAAACTTCACTTTTGCAATATTGCTGAAAGTCCGTTTCAGTAATTGCTACAACCTTGCATCAACATAGCTTCCAAATTTGCTTGGGGGTAGGATATGAATCCTTAATAATTTCATTTCTGACTTGGAAAATAATACATATTATCACACTTACTTACTCAGCAAACGTTGTTTTCCTATAATATACATTATTTCCAGAAGATATTCTTTCAGTTGAATATTTGACAACACACTTTCATTATTTGATTTTTCTACTTCGTTTCAGTTTGACTAACCATGAGAGCATGTTAATTTTCTTAGTTTTTCAAAGAACTATTTAACTTCTACTACTTCTTAGTTTGCATGGCTATCTGAGAAAGCGTATTTCAAAAGTTAATTTTTTGATTATGACGGACGAATCATAATCTCCGACCTCGAAAACCCCCAAATACAAATTTTGAATCGAATTCGATTTCAACTGAAAAACTCGTTCACAATATTGGATATGCCATCTTCTTCTTCTTCTTTTGGGTTCATTGGATTTCTGTCTCCTTTCAGTAACAATTTCTCAAGATCAGGTAATTGAATTTTTTCAAGAATTATATATGGTTATGTAGTAATATTATCTCTCTACTCGAGCACTAAAGACACCGTAGTCCGTCACCATGCCCGGAAACCGAGTTCATGAAAGTTGAAGATTCTATCGTATGTGCTTCTACTGGAGCACGTTTGATTTCAAGTATGGTCCCTTTACCCGATGAATCCGTCCTCTATACCGGCGTAGAGATGAGAGGGCCTGATAATTTTAACACACACACCTATTGAACTTCACAATGAATATTGGATTTTAATCCAGATCAGGTAATTAGAAAAATGGTAGACTTGCATACACATTAACCTGACTTTTGACCTGGTCCATGGTCAAAAGGCGCATCCGATATGCCATCTTGAATGTCTCAATTTTGACGAAAGTATCATTATTCCTAACCCCAAAACCCCGCAGATACCAATTTCAAATAGAATGGGATCATAATTGAAGACCACAGGGGAAAAAGGGGGAATGTCACAATATAGTGGAAATCGCCATCTGATAGCCAAACTACTATATTTTAGTGTAAACAGAAGTCCATAGCGATAACGCAGCATAGCAAGCTAATATGCTCGTTCGAAAACACGTTCACATGAAAAAAACGCAAAATGACCACTTCAAAAATGTGAAGGAAGGGGAACGTCCAAGCTTTAGTGCTTTCTTGAATACATATTCCATTGTGATTTTAACAGGTTGTTTTTACACTGTCAAAAGGTCAAAGTGAACTCTCAGGCGAACAAAGGATGAGAAAAAAGAGATACGGCCACCTTTTCATCATCTCTTGGAGCGTACGAAAGGGAATCCCTATAATGTTCGGGGAACATCGTGGGTACCTAGGAAGGATAGAGAGAATAGGTATAGGTATTGGAATTTTTTACAACTTCTGGAGATAATAAGTTCTTGGGAATACTCTGTTTGACAAAAAATTCCAAAACGTTTGCCGTTTCATGTATAAACGAGTTTTGGTAAAGAGTTGTTCGACATATTTCGAGGTTGACGACACAAAGGTATGCTGACTGGGCTTGTCGAGTACGTCTGAGTGATTGAAATAAAATAATAAGATTGCTACATGATGGTTCCCATTCATGTCGCGTGAAATTTATAGAAAATGATCAAATTATAGAGATGATAGATGTGGTATATGACAACTTACCGCTTATTAGGTAGTCAGACAAGAATGGAGGAATATATCAGAGCAGACAATTGCGAGTAAACACTCCAGGTTTTTGACAATTCATTTGAACATTCCCCATTCCTCCTTTGAATCTTTGGATCCATTTTATGATTTTTTCATATGATTATGATTTTCATTTCTAGTTGATCAACTTTATTGAGCATTTGATTTCAATTTTCTCCAACTTGCAAAAAGTAAAGTGGTTTTGAAATTGTAAATGCGTTTATCTCGAATCTCACTTTTTGTGACATTTCCCCTTCTTTCCCTGTGGTGTCCAATTATAAAACTCGTCTGCCATGATGTGGCAAAAGAGGTAGCCGTTATGGAGTACTGGTGTTCTCAGGTGCACGAGCAGTTCCCCATCGGGCTGCTGCAGATGGCCATCAAGTTCACGAACGAGCCGCCGCAGGGCATCCGCGCCAGCATGAAGCGCACCTACCAGAACGTCACGCAGGACTTCCTGGACTATTCGACGCAGGCGCAGTGGCCACCGTTGCTCTACGCCGTCGCCTTCTTACACACCGTCGTCCAGGAGAGGCGCAAGTTTGGACCGTTAGGCAAGTCAATATAGCTACCCAGACTGTTTCGAGGCTGGTGTACCTGCTTTCATACTGAAATTTTATCATCAATTCAACCAGAATCCATTAGAACGTATGTTATTTAGTTGAAATGTGGTGCAAAAAGAGGAATGCAATGTTTTCTGGAAATGTTCTCAGCTTCCCAATCAGCCAAAGTACGTCTTAAAGGCGTCTTTAAGACGTACATGTCGGGACATAAGTACGTCTTAAAAACGTACATATTACGCCCAAGAGACGTCTTTAAAACGTAGATTTTCCACTAATATGTACATCTTTAAGACGTCTTTTTTAGGTGTTTTTGGTCCATGACCTCAAATTGATCTTTCAAATTATGGGAAAATCACATAGTTTCAGTTAATTTTCACTTGTGCACTGAAGTAAGCAACAAGTGCAGACAAGCAAAAAAAGGGAAATAAACGACTTCATCAAACGGTAGACACAAGCGGTCACCCATTCAAGTACTAACCGCGCTCTTTGTTCCTTGACTTCGATGATTATACCATATTCACGTCTCCTGTTACTCTGTTTGTTCTATATATCACATAACAAGCTTTTACTTAGTTTAACATGTCCTTGTGTCTGTTTGTAATCAAAACGTGCAAGTTAAATTTGACTCACTTTAAATCGTCCGATTGATTTGGAATTTGGCAAGCAAATATTATTCCGGTGACAATTCGTTGTGATATTATTATTGAATGGAAAAAACAGAATGGCGGATCCAATATGGCGGACGATTTTCTCATTGATTATGTTCCGATTCGAATCAAAATTCAATATTCAAGATGGTGAATCCAATGTGGCATATGATTTTCTGATTATGGTCTGATCTGATTCAAAATTGGCATCTGAAGGATTTCGGGATCAGAGATTATAATTATTCCTCTTGTCTAAAATGAAAAATCCAAGATGTCGGCTTCAAAATGGCGGACGAGTTTTGTGATTATAGTCCGATTTTATTCTAAATTGATTACTATGGGGCTTTTGGGGTCGAAAAATATGATTTTTTTTGTAAAAATTCGAGAATATAACACGAAGGCTCCAAAATGTCGGACGAAAAAATTCAAAAACATCACTTTTGTTGAAAATAAGAAAAAACTGAACAATTGAAAATAAAAAACGTGAAGAGATGACATTTTGTTTCTCTTCAGAAAATAACTTACATTATTGTTCTATAAGTCGAATTGACGTACTGGAATGTACGTATCTTTAAGACGTCTTTTATACGACATGGGAGGAACGACGTGGATACGACCTGAAATGTACGTCTTAAAGACGTAAATTCGTGTACGTCTTCAAGATGTACATGGATTTACATCTTAAAGACGTACTTTATACGTCCCTGGACGTAAAGACGTAAGTAAGTCGTAAAATGTACGTCTTTAAGATATCTGGTGCTGATTGGGTTAATGGATTGTTATTCTTATAAATCATCTTGCACAAAGCAATGTCATTTGACCACGGAGATTATGAAAAATTTGGTGCAAGGGAGGATTTGGATGTTCCTCAGAATCAGAATCATATCTCGTGTTAAGGTACTTGAGATTTGACAACTCTGATGATAACTTCGACCAACAATTTGAGTTTACTCAGTTCATAAATTCCCTGTACATCCATTTCAAACTTTCGTTATCGCCTTTATTGAGCTGTTTTGATCAGTTCTTCAAGTGAAATTCAAACAGGTCTCAGATTCCCATTATGGGTTCATTCACGTTTCCATGGCCTTGAGTATGTTTCAGAGGACCCCGCACATTTAGTTCGGAAAATGGCTTTAGGCTAATTTTTCTGAAAATTTGATATGTTTCAGATATTAGCGTCCTTATTAGACAGTCCAATTAACAGATCGATCCTATGACCAGTTTTCGAGCTACAGGGTGTTAATCATTTGATTTTGGCTGTTTAGAAAATTTTGCGTCGATTTGAATTATGTGCTCTAAGTTGTGATAAATCTTCAGTAGAAATAAACGTTCCACGTTTAATTTCTACCTTATGAATCCCTCTATTCGGAAAGATAATAATATCACATACAGGGTATTGTATTCCATCATGACGAGGTAATATTCATAGGAAAAGAAAAATATAGAATATATCAGAATTTCGATTTTTACTCAATCACTGAGAAGTTGAAAACAAACGGCTAGAATCGGCCAATTATTTGACACACTATGGATTTTGATCAACAACATGAGATCAATAGATCTGTTTAGGATCTATTCTATGCTATATGATTTCCAAGAAAGATAAGGAAAGGAACCTACTACATCAAAATATTATGTTCTTCCAATAAGCAGAAGAGTAACCTATTTCGATTAAGATAGAAAAGCTCTGAGACACCAGGTACAAATGTATTTTTTCATGTCTGACACGGTCAGTTCCAAAAATGTTACAGAAAAGTTTATCGTTTTACTAAAAAGTTACGAGAATTAGCAAACTGACCACATGTGTGATTACATACGAAATATTCCAGGTTGGAACGTCCCGTACGAATTCAACCAGGCTGACTTCGCTGCAAGTGTGCAGTTCATCCAGAACCATCTGGACGACATGGACCCTAAAAAGGGCGTTTCATGGCCCACGGTGTGCTACATGCTCGGGGAAGTCCAATATGGCGGCAGAGTCACAGATGACTTTGACAAACGGCTACTCACCACTTTCACACAGGTGAGAATCGTCAAGAGTATTCTACTGAAACGACTTCATCAAAATGAACGAAATCAATAAAGAGTGTGAATCAATTGATGGCTAAAATTATTGGGCATAGTTCCTTAGCTCATTTAGAGGAGATCAGTTTATATCAACACATTCCGTTGAATTTTGAGCAATAGGGTGTTGAAAATGTATCATTCCTTCATCATTGAATGAAGAAACTTTCACAGTGATAGAATCTGTGAAAATAAGACCGCAACGTGATAGATCAAATGTCATTTTCTTTAATACAAAATAGACACCAGCCTATTCTTTTTATCGTCGAGGTGGTTTGAATCCTTTATGGACATCATCTGAGTCTAATACCCCATATGATAGTTTGGGACTTGGGAGTCCCCTGACTCCAGGGTATACCCACTAAAGACTCCACCCCGTTTGTAGGCTCGTCTGACTATGAGTTATGATGAGATTATAGTTCGAGAGTGAAGAGGTTCAGAGTATGCTCATATGAGGTAAAAAATCATATCCTGTATTTTGAGCCATTATTCAAATTACACCCTGTATATTCAGAGTTCGGGAATTCGCGGTATTCAATATCTTGAAACAGAATCAGGTTTCGAAAAGTTATCAGAGCTGTTTCTAGAACATAAAGACATAATGACCTTTGAAGAAGCCTTCTTTATGTTAAAGCTACTCGTATTCATATCTCATTCCGAAAAGCTCATTGGACAGCAATCAAAAATAGCGCCAAACATTGAATGAGTATCTCAATATCATTGAATATTGTGTCTAGGTATGGTTCTGCGATGTTCTTCTAAGACCAGGCTTCGAATTCTACAAGGCCTACAAAGTTCCGCAAACAAGAAACTTGCAAGGTTATATAGACTACATCAACAGTTTACCTACTACTGATACGCCAGAAGTTTTTGGATTGCACGGGAATGCAGATATAACTTATCAAATCAATACTGCGAAAGGTAAGACTGAGCGATAACAAGTTTGAGGAAATATATTTTTCATCGACAGCGAAAGTCAACGAAATATTGTCAATCATGAAATTCTTCTGAAACTATCATTTCGTATTGGAATAAGAGGCTCTGTTTATAGGTGGTTTCAAAATTATTTGAGCGAAAGAAAACAATTTGTTTATTTGGAGCAAGTTTCAAGTAGAACCGAAGAAATAATATGTGGGGTCCCTCAAGGATCGATATTAGGTCCGGTTTTATTTCTGATATATATCAACTCAATTGCCAACCTCAGATTGAAAGGGAACATATATATGTTTGCGGATGATACAACATTAATCTATTCGGAAAGTTCGACTGAAAAAATCAAGAAAAACATTGAAAGTGATCTAAGTACCTTATCTTCCTGGTTAAATCATAAAAAATTGAGTATTAATTACAACAAATCAGCTTTCATGTATATATCTAAGAAATCTCTTTCAAATGAATTGAAAAATCATATAATATTCAATAATGAAATCATTAGATATTCTACAGATATCAAATTTCTTGGTTCAATCATAGATCAAAATTTATCATGGTCGAAACATATCGGAGAGATTCGAAAAAAAATATCACCAATCATAGGAGTACTTTACAGAATTAGACATGAAATTTCCTTGAATTATCTTGAACTTATCTATTATTCCTTAATTTATTCTAAAATTCAATATTTGATATCTGTTTGGGGAACGGCTAGTTTATCAATCATAAAGCCACTTAGAATCCTTCAGAATAAAGTTGTCAAATGTATATATAAATTGGATTATTTGGAACCAACAAGAAACCTTTATAAACCAAATGAAATATTAGATCTTCAATCAATATATAAATTCAAGATATTAACATTTGTTCATTCAGTCAAACACAATTATAAAAATTCCAATTTGAATTTCGAAATTAATGCTGATATACATTCATAAATTCAACTAGACAAACAGACGTGTTTTCCCTCATTAAAATCAAATCTGAATTTGGCAAGAGATCAATATATTACAATGGATTATCACTTTACAATGAATTGCCAACAAGACTTGAAAAATATATCAATACCAAAAAATTCAAGAGATAACTCAAATAGTTATTTATGTATTAAGGGAATTATGAGGGCCTTAATTACCGATGGCAAAGTTTGCGTCCCGAGGGCCTCTGGCCCGAGGGACAGCAATTGCCTGGGGTTATTGAGGCTCAGTAAATTCCCGTGATACATAGATAATTTTATTTCTGACTGATTTCATTCATTAGATACCTTCCCGATTGGAAGTTAGACATGTTTTTCCGTATAGTTTCAATGTCATCAGAACGTCAGATGATGATCTTGACTACCGCGAATAGGAGATTCCTTATTGCTACGTTACTGCGTGGTTGTTGCTATGCATCTCTTATTTAATTTTAGTTAGAGGGAATTATAGCATCTATAACATCCCAAGGGAGTTATGACCCTCATTATAGATATCGTAACTATGACGATATAAGCTTATAATGTCACTGTCAGAAATAAAAATATTTATTCGTCTGTATTTTGTCATGTCATGCTTATTGAGATCATATAACATATCAATTATTTCAATCATTCATTCACTCAAACAAGGATCTGCTCAAACTATGAGAATTACTAGAACAATTATTATTCCTATAAATACTATATTTTGAATGTAATGTAATACATTATGGTTTATTTTTTTAATGTTCACTGTTATAAACATATACGTCAATTGTTTCTTGGGAATAATCGCGTATAATGAATGACTATAGTTATTCAGCTATATAAATATAGTTATTTATTTCCATCATTTGATAGTAGAAGGAACACATTGTTACATCATTGCAATATTCCATCACAAAAAGTCACTTTTATGTGGAACTAAGCAATCACCTCATGCGTTAGATATAGGTTGAACGTCATCATATTATAATGACGTTCAAGCTGAGTGACGACTCATTCATCAATGAGACTAGTTGGTAATATTAGCATGTCATTAAGGAACACCCTGTATACCTCAGAGAATTCAGTAAGAGTTTAGACGAATCCATGGACGAGGTATAATTTTTGGAATGATGAAATTGAGACATTCCAAATCGTGTCACCCATTCTCCTCAGGGATCCTAGACACGATCTTGAGCGTCCAGCCCAAAGAAGGCGGTGGCGGAGGCGGCGAAACTCGAGAGACGGTCGTCTACTGTCTGGCCGAGGACATGCTGGACAAGCTGCCCGAGCAGTACAACAGCTTCGAGGTGAAAGAAGCACTGCAGCGTATGGGCGCCTTGCTGCCGATGAACATCTTTCTGCGGCAGGAGGTCGACAGGATACAGAACGTGCTGCAAGAGGTGAACCTAGCTGACGATCTGGAATTTTAGAATGACGTAGAATGTTTGTATGTTGAAGATAAGAGTGTAGCTGTTCGATTGCTCGAGTCATTTGATGGATGGAACGAATGTAAACTATAGACAATAAGGTCGTACCTATCATCAAAATCCGAGAATTCTAGAGTAATTTTCTCAAGCACTGCACTCAGTACGTTTAGACTTCAGAGCATCGCCAAAATTATACGAACATGGACATTTAGGAGGGTAGTACTTTCAAATGCATGCCCATGACTTTCTCTCTGAATACCCACATTTCATGACCTCCTGCCGATAAAAATTGTCCTACGTCAGATAAGGATAACAGGAAACAGAACGCGCTGCAATAGATGATCCTAGCTCACGTTCTGTTAAACGTAGACCGATTGTTCTTAGGAGAAATGTATATGAGCATATTTTTTATAACTGCACTAGTTTCGTTCAGAGCAGCACCAGCTTAGCGTGCACAGTAAAGGAGTGGTAAAACTCGTGAGACGGTCGTCTATTGTCTGAGGACATGCTGGACGAGCTGCTCGAGCAATACAATGGGCGCCTTGCTGCTGATCGACATCTTCTTGCGGCAGTAGGTCGACAGGATACAGAACGTGCTGCAAGAGGTTAACCTAGCTGACGTTTTGGAATGTTAGAATGGCGAAGACTGTTTTTCCGTTGGAGGAATGTTTATCTGCATATCATTTAATCATTGCACTCGGTTCGTTTTGAGCATTACCAGCTTAGCATGCACAGTGAGGGAATGGGAAAACTCGTGAGACGATCGTCTACTGCCTGGCCGAGGACATGCTGAACGAGCTGCCCGAGCAGTACAGCAGCTCCAAGGTGGAAAAAGTGCTGCAGCGTATGGGCGCCTTGCTTCCGATGAACATCTTCTTGCGGCATGAGGTCGACAGGATACAGAACGTGCTACAAGAGGTGATCATCTGAGGATCGAGAATGTTATAATGATTGTAGGTTGAAGAAATGTATAACAGCTAGTATTATTTTCAAGCACTGCATTTGGTTCGTTTAGGACATTACCAGCTTTGTATGAACATAGGACCTCTCAGCATGCGAAGTGAGCAGGGGGTGGAACGTTTGAATTCATGCACATTTTCCAGGTTTCGGTTGATTTTCTCTCTGTATACCTAGTTCTCATGTTTCAAGGTGAAATCGACACTGACAGATTTGAAATTGGCAATAGATGGGACGATTGTGATGAGCCAAGGTCTCAGGACTTCTCTAGATGCTATGTATGACGCGAGAATCCCAGATAAATGGCAAAAGGTGAATATTGTCGAATATCTTTCCTGAATCTGAATTTTGGTGGTACAATCACAGTAGCTTTTAGAACTATTCTATTGATATTTTAGATATCTTGGGAGTCTGCCACACTAGGATTTTGGTATACGGAACTTTTAGAAAGAGATGCTCAATTCCGAACCTGGATTCAAAGTGGCAAACCGAACGTGTATTGGATGACAGGATTCTTCAATCCCCAAGGGTTTTTGACAGCCATGAGACAGGTACAAAATCAAACTCAAACTGAAAATATTCAGTGAATTTTCTTGAATAGTCACTAGTACACTGTGAATAGCCAAAAGCTCATAATTTGAATTCAATATTCAATTTGTTTATATCAATGGCAACTTGTGGGCCTTAATAGCTGATGATTCAAAAGATTTCATTCTTCGTTAAAGTAATCGAGAGCTTCATGCAACCTGTTTAGGCCCTATGCTACACATGACTGCGGCCAATATACTGGCTCATCACTATCATTGCCAAAGAAAATGATAAATTGTGATGTTTTATGTTCGCCGAACTATAAATCATCTGCTCAAATTCAATTCGTCTACATTCTCACATATCTTCTCGACAAATGATCTGAAAAGAAAAAAAACTGCTGATGACATCATTTCAGCCAGGTTAGGTTGTTATTGAAAGATCGTTCGACTATAGAATGGTGAAACTTTGGATTCATTTGCCAATGAAAGTATTCCCAAGAACTTATAACCTCCAAAAGTTCAAGAAATTCCAAAATCTACTATACCTACCCCTGTCCTCCCAAGGTACGGACGATGTCATTCGAAAATTATAGGAATCTCTTTTCGTGCGCTCCAAGAGATAAAAAAATCAAAAATGTAAATGTAGAGAAATTGTGTATCAAGTGTTTTTTTGTCAGGATGTGACCCGAGCCCACAAAGGATGGGCTCTCGATTCGGTGGTTCTGCAGAATCTGATAACCCGTTACAGTAAAGAGGACTTGAAGGAGGGCCCTCCGGAGGGCGTGTACGTCCACGGTCTCTTCCTAGAGGGCGCCAGTCTAGATCGCCGTTCTGCCAAACTGGTCGAGAGCAAACCCAAGGTGAGAAATTGAAAATGATATTCATGACGATGCCTATTTTTCCAACTGACGAAAGTAGTTCTCTCCATTCCATATCGATGCAAAGGTGATATTGGTAGAGAAAGAGGTCAATCAAACGACAGATTGGGAAAAATCTACCAATAGCTCCCGTTCGTTTTGGTCCCTCACTACTAGTTCATTCCCACCATATTTCAAAGCCGGAGATTGACTACCATCAATGGCAATAAGCTTCATTAAAAAATATGGGAAATCTGTAGCTGTGGCGTTAGATTTCTCCACAAACTACTTTCATACGGCTCATCACCTCAGCTTTGCCAGCTTTCATCGAGTTTTCTTTCAGGCAGATCGCTTCATGTGGTGGTGAACTGAGTATTGTTTGATACTATAGTAATCAATTCCGGTGTTCTACAAGGATCAATTTTTCCCTATCCATAGCTTTGCATATGATAGAACTCTCAATACTGCGTTTCCTTTTAGAATTCCCATTTCTTCCCAGGAAACTGAGATTCCATGACGAAGGCAGGTCAACGCTGTCAATGAAGATCTTGCTGAAATAATAGCCTGGGGAACCGAATACTCTTTTGATTTCAACCCTACCAAAAGCCAAGCCTATAGAAAAGCGGAACTCAGTACGCCTGATATATTAATGTGTGGTACTATGCCAATCCCTCCAAGTCCACTTTATCTATGTTCGGTAGGTATATATACAACAGCAATTTCATCGGATATTCATGTCAGATTCATCGCATAAGCTGCTTCACAGAAACTCGGATTTTCATTTGCGAAAATTTACATCGTTCCTCAACAGCTTCTACAAAGCACAGATACGGCCTAGCAAATGACAGGTGAATAAGTCACCGATGACAAGTAAACATGCCACTTATGACATATGACCAGGTCACTCTAATGCAAGTAAACAAGTCACGAATGACAAATGAGTTAGTCACGAATCGCAAATGATTGTGAGTAAATAACTAATGACAAGTGTGCTATGTTCACTAATGTTTATCAGTTTGATATTCAATGGATCAGGTTGATAGTGGTAGGTGTACATTTCTAAGAACACGTACTAATATTCCTGTGGTTTATGACTTGTTTCCTCGTCCCAAATAGTATACAAGTTCTACTTGCCACTATTCAATATTCACTTAGGGTTGGTGATTTTTTTTCTCCGTGCTGTTTTAGAATACTATTATCAAATATGGGGTTCAGCAACCGAATATAAGCTGATGCTCTCCGATTCCATCCAGACAGGAGTCATTTGACTAGTGGGTGATGCCACACTCACTTATCATTTGACCTTGTAAGAACACCGTGGAGAAACTGGTGACCTTCAAGTTGTTTATTTATACTTCCACGGGAAATGTTCCCAGTCAGACGGAATTAACAATCCTAGTCAGTACATCCCTCCATCGTCAACCTTGAGATATGTCGAACAAATCCCTACCAGAACCCGATTGTCTATAGAACGGCAAAGCTTTGAAGATCTTTGCCAAAGGAATTATTTTCAGAAACTCATAATCTCCAGGGGTTCAAGAAATATTCCAAAACCTCCTCTAACAATCCTCCTTAGCTACACACGATGTTCTCTGAACATTATAAAGATTACCTTTCGGGCGTTATTCCTATAAATAGAAACAAACAAACCACAAATGAGCAATGAAACGCAGCTTATGTGAAAAATTCATGAGGAATGCATGTTTCGATAATTCGTGATCCATTCCAGGTTCTGTACGAGCAGATGCCCGTCATCTACATTTACGCCATCAATAGCACAGCGGGCAAAGACCCGAAGCTATACGAGTGCCCCATCTACAGGAAGCCCCAGAGGACCGATCAGAAGTACGTGGGGTCCATCGATTTTGAAACGGACCACAATCCGAGGCACTGGACTTTGAGAGGAGTCGCCCTTCTGTGTGACATCAAATAAAAAAAAATGGGAAAGTGTCTTTGTTGTTTTGAATGAGATGATTATTATGAAAATACATTTTGCATTTAGTGCAATTATTATCAATCACTATGACAACACGATCGACTTTGACAGCTTCAATAGTTATTTACCTTACAAGTGCGGAAAGTAGTAGTTTTCCGCATCGACGGGTAAGTCGTCAAGGGCGGATAAAACATTCTCCGCAAGAGTCAGGTACACTGTTGTTGTTCATATAATTCATGAAAAATAAAAAGATTTTCAATCGACAATATTTTATAATGATACTACACAATGACACATAATGCAAAATAGGTAGGTACATGGATCATTTATTTAGTCCAAAATATCCTTATTTTCAACAATACAAAAATCGTGCGGAAATGTAACTTTTCAGCACTAGTGCGGTAAAGTCAATTCTTCGAACGATATTTTCATGCACTGAAAAATAATGAAAATATTCATTATTCCAAATTTTTTGGGATTTTCCCTCCTCGTTTCTATAAAATAAAAATATGAATATTATTTCAATACAAATTGTCACTGACAAGTGACAGGCGAACGACGCGAAGCGGAGTTCGAATGAGTTTTTGCGTGCGAAAAAGACACTTTGCGCACATGTTAAGACAACGTTTTTCCTACGAGCTTCATGTCAGATAAAAAGTGACGGTGTTTCTAGATTTTTGTTTTTTTTAGGTGAAATACGAATATCGGGAAGAACGGTTGAAAAGTAAAAGGGATAACGGCTTCTTATAGTGCATACAATAGTCTACAGCAATTAAATTGAATATAAATATTCCATACCAGTGAGATTTTTGGGTAGTTTCACATATCCACACGCCGTGCGGATAACACCCATATCGACAATGAGTGCGCTTGAAATGCTTATTATATGTATATTTGTTGACTGCCACAACTGTCAGTGTATAGCCACTTACGTGATTTTCCCAAGAAAGGTTATTGCTGATAGTGATACCAAGCATCGAAATGGATGTCTTCAAAGGTATGGTTACTCCTGACATGCCCATGTTTGGCACAGTGAGATCAGCTTTTTTAGATAAAACGCATGTTTGTGTTTTGTTTGCATTGAAATCTACCAAGTTATTGGATCCTCATTCGAAGATTGTTGCCAAATCCATATTTATGTTGTCAACATTTCTCTCTCGTTCGTTTCTGATTTGCCTGGCTGGTATTGGTGCCCTGAAAGAGAAGACGGTATGGAGGGTACTATCATCCGCGAAGCTGTGTACTGGACATAAAGTTGCTTCCAACAAATCGTTGATATGGAGTAGAAATAGTGTTGGTACTAGAATTGATCCTTGCGGAACACCAACATCTATGGTAAGAGAGTCAGATGAAACTCCGTCGACCACTACATGGAGAGACGTGTTAGAGAGAACTAGCTAGCAGATAACATAGCTGGGGAGGCAAGCCAAGATGGAAGCTTGGCGAGGAGTCCGTGGTGCCAGACTCGATCGAATGCTTTGGAGACATCAAGTGCCACGGCTAAGGTTCCACCATATTTTTCAATAGATTGCTGCCATATATGTAAGACGCAAGCGAGCAGGTCACCAGTTGATCTTTGATGATGAAAGCCATATTGCCTGTCGTTGATGATACCTGATCGTTCCAGGTATTTCATGAGCTCGATATTAATAGCTTTCACCAAAATCTTTGAAATGATAGATAGCAGTGCGATCGGTCTGTGGTTGCTAGGTAGGGTCTTTCTGCATTTTTTAGGAACTGGTTGTACTCTCGCAATTTCCCAGTTGGACGGGAATATCCCCAATTTGTAAGAGTAGTTGAATTTGAGTCACTGAATGAAATCATTATTATTATAATTATTATTATTACTATTGATTGTGGTGACTTGTTGGAAGAAGGAGATTATTGCACGGATATTGTAAAGATTAGGAATATATCTGGTAAGTTCAATTTATTAATTCATTGATGATGAAGTATATTTATACTAAGTACCTACCTTCTCAATTGATGCAAAATGTTCTTTTGAGAAGATCATGTAAGATACCTATTTGTTGCTTCTTGATGTGTGGTAGGGGTATTGAAGCTGGAGCAGATGGTTGCAAAGATTCAAATCCATAGGAGTATATTTGAAGAATTGTTAGGATTCGGGTTCGAGATCGTTCGTTTTAAGCTTCTATTGCTGCCGCACATAACATGATTCCGGCTGAAGAAGTGCCAAATTTTATAATCCAGGTTATCACCTATTGGGAGAATTGGAATACCTACTCTGAGGCTTGAACAAATTGATCCGCGTGCTTTGAAACAATGCTTATTCCAAAAATGATACTTGAAAGTCCCATCAAGAATAATCAACTCAATAACACAAATCAATATGACAAGATTTGCGAGTGTTACATTCAGGAAAATCTATAACTGCCAATTTCATTTCATCGTGTTACGGTTCTGATTGCGGAACGTTGACAGATGCGTATATCTATAAATCAGGGGTGAGGCATCTTTCCTATGAGGAGTCTTATACTCTACCACTCAATATTTGCTCAAACTGTATAAAAGCTTGATGAAATAAAACTATACGGTATTTGATGATGGAATGCTTTTAATGTGATGATGATGAGAATTTTACAGTACATTTTGGTTCAGGTATATCTTCCATATCAAATCGTTGTTGTGTTGGATAGCTCTGATGTCTTTCAGCTCACAAGGAGACCTTTTCTCATACCTGGCGATATTCTTACTGATTTCCTGCATGACAGTCTTCCTCGTTTTCTGCATTTTGTCTTGCATGGCCAAATTTTCGACGATTTTGCTCGTGTTGGTGAAACGGCTTTTTGAAGATGCTGGACACGGTCTGCTGCCCTGGATCATGAAGATGGCACATTTTTTGGCTAGCGACATGTATTTTATGAGATGAAGATGAAATGAATTGGATGATGATTGATGATTGTGAGATGATGAATGACAATACGATAGTGACAGCTGCTGGGTTGAATTTCACGTAGGTAAGAATAATCACAACTACAGGGTGATCACTTGACTGTGGGTCATACTAAATCTCATTTGAATCAGATTATGAACCATCCAGGAATACCAAAATTCGACATACAAGAACCCAGTAGCAAGAGATTTCACGAATCTCTTTATCATATTCAATTTGGAATATTGAAATATCCTAGGAATGATCTGGAATATTCTAGAATATTTGTGGAATATTCTCTGAATATGCAAATGGACATTCCTCAGATATTCGTAGAATATGTCCGAAAGAATATTCTATATTGAATGTTCCTAGAATATTCCCATTAATATATTCTTAAATGAAAAAAGTGACTCAAGATAGAATCGAACCCGTGACATCCAGACTATCAGAGCAAAACTCCAACCACTCGACCAGTAATCGGAATAAATAATGTTGTACAGCCATATAGCACCAGTACGTCCTCAAAACAAACTGAGAACGTTCGGCCAAGACGTTTCGTACGTACTGGGGAAGTCTAGATTAGGACTGTAGACGTACTAGTACGTACATTCAGGACCATGAATACCTGAATCAACGTAAATTCGCCTTTGCTCACTCAGATAGTTAAAAAAGAGATCTAGACAGAGTAGAAAATCTCTCATTCGGAATCAAAAAAATTGAAAAAGAACACCAGGCACTTCTGAATGCAGATGCTCTACCCATTGCTCTATCTATAGAACACTTATCAATATATCTGTACAAAGCGAGAGATTATGTGCGAATGTCGATTAACCCTTCACATTGATACTTTTATAGAATTAGATCATCACAACAGAGAATACCTGAATAGATGTTTTCTGATTAGGTACGGCCAGTAAAAAATGAATGGTGAAAATTGTATTATGTTCATTGTTGCAAAACTCCTACATGAATATAGGTATTAGAGATCAAAGGTAGAAATGATATGCAATGATTTCAATTACCATTATACAATTTATCCAATCCCGTTCACAAAAAGTCGATAACGTCCATATTTGGACGTACTCAGTACATCGGAATCGTACGTACCCAGTACGTCTAGAAATGGACGTTTTCAGGACCTCTTGAGGAGGTCCTGGACGTTCAGACCTAAATCGGACCTGAAATAAACGTCCCCAGAACGTCGAGTGCTATATGGGCATATCAATGTCTTGTAAGAGCGTTGCTCAGAATCAGATCATTTTTGAAATGATGATTGATGTTCATCTGTTTTTTTTATGTTCTGGTTCCCACGAAAAAGGATTTCCTGTAAAGTTCAGAGAACATCGTGAGAATCAAGGAAAATAAGGTAAGAATTGGTGTTCTTCTCAAATTTCTGTAGGTTTGCCTCGAGGAACACTTCCCTTGGCAATGTGTTTCAGAGCCTCGCTGTTTATTGGATGAACGAGTCTTTGAAACGAAATGTTCTGCAGGTCTCCAAAGTGACCACGAAGGGGTGCGAGGCCTCAACTCGACGGGTTAATCTCGCGGGGACTGCCAATAAGAAAAGAACAATTGTTGATAATTCAGAAGATCATCGTCCATGAAAATATCTATTAAATAGAGCTAGATCGCCAACTTTTTCACGGTGTTGCAGAGAAGTGAGTGGGTTTGTGAGTGAGACATCACCCCCGAGACGAATTGCCCTTTTTTGGACAGAATCCAACAGTTTCAGGGTGGGTATGTTTGGGTGCTACACTCCAAATATGGGAACAGTATTCCAGGACAGGTCGAATCTGTGTCTTACAGATCGTAAGCAGCTGACTGGAAGTGAAATAGCTCCTGGCCCGAAACAGAAAACCAAGTTTTGGGGATGCACTTTTAGCAATTGATCTCAATTGATTTTTTATGAATATACAACACTAAAGACTAAAGAATATCCTGAGAATAATCACTTCGGAATATTCCTGCTAGAATATTCCTCGTTTATATCACCTTGGGATATATATCTCGGGAATATTTGAAATATTCCTTAGATGATCCGGAGGCATGTATATATTCAAGCAATAATCACTGGATATTCGGAATATACTCCTCCTTTCAAGCATATTCCGAGGATATTTCAGGAATATCTACTTCGTCAACTCATTTTGTTTATTCAATCATTTTGGAATTGTTGATATTCCCCTTCAGTTGTATAATTTGATCACATCACTATATTGAGGACTACTCTTGGTCACCAGTTTGTGTATGACCCCAGTTAGCTGTCAAGCTGTTTCATTTTTTCAATTTTTTGACTGAGAAAAAATATGAATGTTCTCCTATGAAGTCAAAATCGATAACATCAGAAAAAGAAACATATTCTATATTCAACCAGGCAACTGCAATTCCCTGAAGAAATTCATCGAACATTTTTAAAAGTGACCGAGAATCCTGGAGAGTCGCAGAAAGTCTTGTTTGGAAGTGCTCAACTAAAAGTCTCAAGTAATGGAATATTTTGAAAAACAAATGAAACTTGTTTGAAGTCACTGAAAATTTTTGGAAGTTACTGAAAGTCTTCGGAAGTCATTTGATATCACTAAAAGTTGGCGAATTTGCTTCATTTTATAGATATTTCCGTGGACGATGCTCTTCTGAAATATCAACAATAATTATTGTTCTTCCCTTGGCAGTCCCAGCCAGATTAACCCGTCGAGGAACACATTGCCAAGGAAGGTGTTCCCCGAGGCATATAACCTCCAGAAATTCAAGAAGAACACCAATTTTCCTACCTTATTTCCCTTGGTTCTCACGATGTTCTCTGAACATTACAGGAACCAGAACATAAAAAAATCAAGGTTATTTTGAAATCACTAGAATTTTCGAATGATACTGATACACTTCGAAAATCACTGGAAGTTTTCGAACGTCACAGAAAATCTCGATTGATTCGAATTCAAGGTTGTAGACCAATTGAAACACTCTTTATATAAACACTTTTAATTAAACAACATACAACAAATATTATTGTCAAAAAGTTTTAGAGAAAAATCGATGTAGAAAATTTACAGAGTAACAAAGTAGAGTTATTTCCATGTTAAACATAATAAAACTAGATACAAGAGTTGAGCCAAGAAGAAATATGAAACATGATTATAACGCATAATATGTATTTCATGATACCAAGTCTAGTATCGTTTCTTTGGTCATTTTGATATACACCTCATTGATATACTCTAAACATTACCTATTCTATTTCAATTTAAAACTAACACCTAAATACAATGTAAATTTGTAACGCTGACAAGAAAGTACAGGATTTTTTTATGGAAGGACTCAGTTTAGTTTGGGTCAATTATAAGTAGGCCTAGTATCCCTAGAAGTTCAAGAAGTATTTGGCATGATGTCAAATATGTCAAATCGGCATCAAGTTACCCTGAGTAGGCCATTATTGAACTTGAAATAGTTTTATTGAAAAAAAAAATTGATTACTTGGGTGATTTCACTACCCTGTGTGTGCACCATTACATAACCTGATTTCAGTAATTTTCATTTTCGATACTGAAAGTGTTCATGGATATTCACAATGCAACTGATGATCATAATAATATTATTTCACTTGGAAACGGAAACATTTCATGCTATTTGTTGGTAGCAAATAATCTGGCAAATTGAATACAGGGTGATTCACATAAGAACCGACATAGAGCAGGGGCATGTAGGGGGTCCCAAAATATGGCAATTTAACGCAACTTACCTCTATACCAAGTTGCTTCCCTAAGGAGATATAGGCTTTGAAAGTGAAGTTATAAATTTTGAAAAAAATCAATATCTTCGTTATCCTTGAACTCAAAGCAACCAAATTTGGTACACTTTGTGGATGTATTTGGGGCGTTTTTTTTACAGTAGCTAGAGTTTAATTGAAATTTGTAAAGGGGGTATACCGGGTGGCGCACCATTAATATTCAACATAATTTTGTTAACCCTTGATGGATTTCAAAATTCTTTGCTTTGTGGGCAATTCAATTCTAAAACTTTTCTTACTCCAGTAATTTTTCGAAAAACCTCATTATTTTCATCAAAAACTCGAATAACTGAAAACGCGCGCTCTAGGTGTGTTATTTAAAATCATCGAAAATTCAAAAGTTGGCTATGAAAATGAACGTCAAACTTGACAATGAGGCAAGTGAGTTGTTTAATTAAGTAATTGTTGTTTGAGTGTTTTTAAAATGAACGGGAAGTTTTATTTTAACGAGCAAGTTGACATGCTGTTAGTGCTATGCCTACAACTCCTTAGGGAAGTAACTTGGTATAGAGGTAAGTTGCGTTAAATTGCCATATTTTGGGACCCCCTACATGCCCCTGCCCTATGTCGGTTGTTATGTGAATCACCCTGTATATTCTGGAAAATGCATTGTCTCTTGTCAATGTCAGTTGTTATTTCTTCAATTTTTTTCATCTCTTGGAGCGTATGAGAGAAAATCCTTATGGTGTTCGAAGAACATCGTGCGTACTGATCTCGAAATTGTGATTCAATTCGATAGAAATATAATAAAATTGACAGTGACGTCGATTGCATTCATATTTGATATCTTTGTAGCCATAACCTCACATTAAAAAATGTCTAACCCCTTACCCCTGAAAATATGATCACTTCATATCAAAACAGCAATTCCATAAACATTTACAATATCGAAATTATTCAATATCTGAGTTACACATTTTTGTTCCTCTACTATATTTATAGAAGCAGAGTATCAACACAAACTCAATAACAATAAGTTTCTTGATCGATCCATACTCAAATGTTTAAATATAATTCTAGCTATTCTCCAAACGCCCTGAAAACATTACACACTGAAATAGTAAAAACAATTCCTTTACATTCACTTATCACTATTTATTCTCCATATTTTCCACAATTCTATCTAGTCATCAGGAACAAACATACTAATTAACATACGAAAGAAATGGAAAATCAGTCACAACAATACTTCTTCCAGATCTGATAAATATTATAATATTAAAATAATTGTCACGATAGGATGAAAAGGAAGCAATATTGAGTAGAATAAATATTTGTTTACAAAAACTATTCACATCAAAATGTCTTCATCACGGAGGTAGTTCTGCAAGATTCGGAATCAACTATCAACAAATATATACAAACTCAGACAATCTACCACTATTTGTTAACAATGTTGCTCGGACTAGTGTCTGAAAACTTCATTTTCAATGCAATTATTTGTGGATTTTTGTTCATGACTTCCAAATCTAATCTGATTGAATCAAGCCAAGTCTTTCAAGCATCATTCATCAAGATGCTCTTTCATATCGGTATGAAAAATGTAGTTCAGTTTTTAGTTGTTGTCATATGTATTTTGTTGGACCCTTTAGTTTCGGTACACATTTTTCCTTGATTTTGCTGCTTGCAAACTGCCTCCTATTAGTCCCAATGCTATCATATTTTACATTATATGCAAATTCCCCAAAATCCTGATAGCAAATGAGTACATATATAGCTATTCTACCGAATATAGCGATTCCTTTCAACTCCTTATGAATATTCAGTTCGCATCTTGGTACGCTACAGGATATGGAGGTTTTCACAGTTCTTGAATTTCGAGTCTTCTTTGCCAAACAGCCACGTGAACATCTGTCTCGCTTTCATACTGGCCTTAACCATGCCCCTACTCTTGTACCTGTCAAGAAAAAAATAGGTTAATGAAGATTTTCATGGAATTTTTGAGCCTGTATTCATTCACCCTTGCCCAAGAGAACACTCTGTATGCAAGTATGCTGTATGCACTATTTTATTCTGATGAACTTGCCCAAGAAACTACCAAGAAGTAGCCAAAAGTTCAAGATATATCTTCGTCAAATATACTTGTCCTGGACGTTTTCTGCTTTGAATGAAACGTTATCTCCTTCTGAACATTTGTGTGCAAACTGTATTTGCGGAAAACATTTTTTCTATACATACCGAATGAAATTTGTAATACCTTGTAGAGTATAATAGTTCAACTATCAAGTTGGAATTGAAATTACACTTCAGCTTCATCTTATTTCAAGGTTTTTTTTTGGATTCACTCCATTATCTTTCCTACTACTCGAGAAACACTATGTCATAGCGTAACATGATTTGATGTAGAAAAATATCCAAATTTAGCAGTGAATAACGAAACAGAATGCAAAAAATTGGTGAAATGACGCAATGCCAACATACCAAATTTTAGTAAAATCTCATAAAACGTTTTAGAGCTATGAAGCAAAAACAAAATGAAAATTGTGAGGTTAGATCCGTCTTACGTCCAAACTGGAAAACTCTGTACTTAGGTAATTGGGCTAGTATAGAATTGTTTTGGTCAGAGGAATATGTGGTTATGGTTTTTGTAAAGACCTTTTAGAGACACCGACCCTGTATATCAAATCACTCTATTGATGGGTGCGTTAAGTGATCCATCGATCCAACATAGATTCAAGCTATATCGTTGACTTCCAGATATAGAATATAAACTCTGATTCAATAGTAGATTGGTTTACTTCGATAGGAATATTTAACTTACCATTGCGGATTGTGACCTCCTTCTTCAAAATGCAGTACTTTGAGCCGGATCTGCGTCAATATTCCTACAAGCAGCTCGTCCACGTTGTGATTGATTCCCACCGAGATCTCAGTGAACTTGGCCCTGAATGTACACGCCAGACATTTGCCATCTAAGACCAAAATCACAATTGAATTTTCAACATTCGACAATGATGGAGAGACAATGATGATGGAGATTTGTAAACTACCCAGGCAACCAGTTTCAGTAACGTCTTTTTACGTCAGTTGAATGACCAAGGTGACGTCACAACTAAATGACGTCAGTACTCACGTTTATCGACTTCAGTCACTCATCTTCAATCTCAACAGTGACGTTCAGATTTGGTAATGAAAAGTGAAACAGTGTCCTCAAAGATAGTGTTCCCACTAGAGACTCTAAAGAGGTTATGTGAGCGCAAATGATAGGTCTAATTTGTTCTACCGTTATATGAATGCCCTGGTAAGAGCATATTGGCCTTCATGTCCATATAATCCTATTAGAAGGCTTTGAGATACTATGATAGAACTATCGCATAAAACAATTTGGCATTCAGCTCACTTCGGTTTTAAGAGAGCTCTGTGAGAGTCATTGAAATTCCTTACCAAAATTATTTACTCTTAACAACCCTCTTGAAACACTTGAGTTTTATTCAAAATTCACATAGTGAACACTGTAAAATAACAAAAGTAAGGTTATGTTAATCATGTTGATGACGTTCTTCTCAAAGCTTTATAGTTTTATGAAGGCGTTTTCTCATAACCTTCTTGAATCTCATCATTTTCGAAGTTTTGTTGTCATACCCAGGAGCAAATAGTCATAAGAATGGATTTGAATTTGCAATAAGTACTTCAACAGGAGGAAATCGTCTCATAAAATGCCTTATCATCATCTAAAGGTTTTAATCAAGCATAAGAGAAAGACAATTGGTTTTAAGTATATTTTGCGCCATATATTTACTACAAACAGATGTCGGCCATTGATGGAAATGAAGATTTCAAGCGGAAAATAGAAAAGATGCATTGATACTGCCGTCGAAAATATTGTTTTTCCACATTTTTCAAACGACTCACCCATATTCAGCAAACATTCATACAGTTTTGTCAACTTTTTTGGAAAGTTATTAAAATTCACATCCAATTCTAACTGGCGAAAGCACATTATTCCTAGGGCGCTGCTTTTTTGAAGCATATCTGGTATGTTTTCGTCAAAAAAGTCGTCATCGTTTTCATTTTACAGCCTCAATCTTCACAAAAAGGCTATTTGATACAGTAGGGAATTATCATGTCATACCGCCATGTTTAATCTCTTTTATAACTATCTATTGTTTTCACTCCATTTTGGCAAGTTTGTATTATGATTAGTTCTGAGAAAAGACTACCATATAACTCGTTACGGACTATATTATCTTAACAAATGCTTACTGCAACTGATAAGGTTTGAATTCTAGCCAATAAGTTTTAATGTTGGCATAAGAACTGTCGCTTTAAAGCATATAGGTTTGAACTCGTGCTAAAAGGCTTCGAAGGAAGAAGTTTTGATAGGTTTCATTATTGCTTTGAGGCATACTAAGATGAATTCCTATTAGTTTTATGAAAAGCTTTAAGAGAAGCTGTGACCAGCATTTCTAAAAGTTGGCCCTTCATGTTTTGGGAAGGTTGTTTAATTGTTTTAATGATATTATTAAAGTATAATAGTTTTGAAAAAGCATTTTGAAATAGGCTGTAACAACCTCCTATAGCTAACAATGAAGCTGATAATGTTATTTGGGTTATAAACACCATTGACCTCTGATGACATCCGATATTGATAATGTATTGTTAAGATTGGTGGTCCTTTCGGTGTCATATGTCCATTCTATTCTAAATTCATTTATTCATTACTTTCGAGGAAGGTGTTTGTTCTGCGATTGAAGTCCTAGTAAATAAATCTCATCTCCTGAAGTCATGCTCCTCACGATGAGAAATCTCTGAGGGAAACCCAACTGGGCTAGGGTCGAATACGAACATTCGCCTGATAGGAACCTTGTTTAGTGATGGTCGCCTCGGACTCGCGCCATATTCAGTTGCAACGCCCAGAATCGGCCTCCGCCAAGTAGCTGGCTGGAGTGGCCCATGAACATGAGCAGCAAGAAACGTTTGACTTCACCGTGTTGATTGACCCGGTGGAATCAAGATGCTCACTCGGGATTGCTTACGCTTTGTCCGAGAAACTTCGGTGGAATTTTATATTCTCATCAGGATGATCGAGTATCCTACAGATCGATTGGGGGTTCCCAAAAAACATCGGTCGACTTATATATCAGTCCGTGTTTTCTATAGATTCCATGTTATACAAAATACGTCAAAATCAGCAGTGTCAAATACATTCAGAAACTCTACCCAGAACATGGAATCTATGAAATTTATTTGATATTCGAAAATGAAAGTCTTTAGATTACCTTGCGTGGAGACTGCTCTGCTTCTGGCCAAGTCGATTTTGTTGGCGACTAGAATGGCGGGCCTCGACCTCAGCAAATCGGCATCTTGAAGCCTAGTCATTTCAACTTCGGCCTTGAGGAAACTCGCTTTGTCTACCACCGAGTACATCACGACGAATGCGTCTGGTGGATGCAATTTGTCTACGTCCTTGAAAAAATCAAGCGAACGTTATTGGTTATAGAGGGTAAAATACAAACGAATTAAGGGGAGTCGGCCATCTTCTGATGGCATTGATGCTTGGTGATTGGGATTTGATATCAGCAGTGGATAAAAGTTCTTCTATATGTATATAATAATGAGTACATTCAATAACTGCTCACATGATATGAGTTGAGAATATCACAATGAGTCACTAAAGGCTGGGCCTTGAAAGTCTCGTTTGACATAAAGCAAAAAGCATGTAACTCGACAACATGTAACAACTATGTGACAATAACCATTCGAAGGTTCTGACAATGCATTGATAAAATACTAGATATTAGTTACAGTTCTCAAACATAAAAAAGGGGAAATAGTTATTTGTTCAACTAGGCAGCAAAGTAGTAGATTGACTGCCGAGGCTGAATTCATAGCCGAGCGTAGCGAGGCTAGGAATCCATTCAGTAGCGTGCGTATCTTTTTGGTGCCTTGATTATGACTTCACTTCCAAAGTGGTCGAGTAGATTCTTTGTTATCTCAATTTCATGGTGAATATACTTTTTCAAGAAATTAAGGCACCCCAAAAAGTTGCCAAAAGTTTAGTAAACATTTTCGTCAACACCACTTGTTCATTTTGGCCGGTTCATGTTTTGGATGATAGGTTATTTCCTTTTGAAATTTTTTTATGAATGCTTAGTGTAGCAATTATAGCGTGCTTTTTCGATGAAATTTTTAATACCCAGTGGAGTGTGACAGTTACGTTATCAAGTTGAAATCGAAAGTACACTTTAGCTTAATCATTCCTCAATATTCCTCCTTAGGATTCACTCCATATCTCTTCTTTTTCTCCAGAAACACAATTTTATAGCATAACATGATTTAATTGTATTCAATTGGCAATGTGAACACGAAAGTAGCAGGCTATGGTCTGGGAAGGCAATTCTTCGACTGGTCGCATAAAACTTGTGATCATGAATGGAATCCTTTCAGCTGAAAGGTACATATCGGGGATCTCAGAACCACAAATATAGTGTAAGGATTTCTGTTGATGCAAGATAATGCCAGGCCTCACGTCGCTCGAGTTGTGTGGAATTATCCAGAGAGGAAGTCTGTATTGCTACCATGGCATGTCCAGCTCGGAGCTTGCTTTGGAATCCCATTGAGAATCTCTGGGATATTTTTGGGAAAAGATTACAGGAACGTTACTTCAATACTTTGGAAAGCGCACGGTAGAAACTAATGATTCATATTTGGTCTCTTATTTTGGGTATTGGCCGTCTTTGCTTAAAAGTTTTTTGCGCTCGAGGCGGTAATACTCGATACTGACCATCTCCTTTTACTTGTGACTTTGCATTCTGTTCAATTTTTTCGTTATTCAATCTGGATATTGATTTCCGCAAAATCATATTACGCCTCCTCCAGACATGAAATGTTGGAAGAAGGTAAGGCTAGATTTCAATTTCAACTCGATAGTGTTACTAATACACTCTATACGCTGTAACTGCTAGAGCCGGTATTAATGAAATGAAAGTTTTTATGCGAATACAGTTTGTACATCAATCTTCAGAAGGAAATAACCTGTCATTCAAAATAGAAAACATCCAAATCACACAAGTACTTTTACCGAAAATGTTTTCTAAACTTTTGGCAACTTTTCGGCGTTGCGTTAATTTCTTGAAGAAGTGTACATAAGATATTATATCTTCATTGACAAAAGTAGTGGAAGCAGGAAGAATTCTGGAACATAGGTTCCAGAAATACTCCCCAGTTAGTAGTGTCGCTAGTTTCGCTAGTGTCGCTGTGGCTTCACTCTGTATCTGGGCAGCGGCAAATTGAAATATTGGATGGGAGGAAATATTAAATCAATTCGCGATAGAAAATAACATCTTCTGAGCGGATTGTTTGGATGGATGTAACCAATAAGCACAAACAAAAAACAAAGGTGAACATCAAAACGACGAAACGTCATCTGTCAAACGTCATCTGTCAAACGTCATCTGTCAAACGTCATCTGTCGTACGTCATGCGTCATATCTCGAACGTCATAAACCATTGTCAAAACGACCGAATGCCGTTTATGTATTACAGATCACAATATCCGAATTTTTCAAACGTCGGGCAACGCTCTCAACGTCCGGCAACCAGCTTCACCCCTATCGCCTGCATCTGCTAGCATTATGTCAACGCGCTCAACGTCTGGCAACCAGCATCGCATCTGTCGCCTGCTTCTGCCATGTCGCCGCTTACCAAACTTCAAACTTGTAAATAATCTCATCTCATATTTGAATTTGCCGCCACACAGATACAGAGCGCAGCCACAGTGACACTAGCGACGCTAGCGACACTTTCAGCTGGTGAGGATTTTTGGAACCTGTGTTTTACAATTCTCCTTGTTTTACTACTGACAAATACATGTTTGATCGAATGGGAGTTTGATTGTCATGACAAACAATCACAAGTTGATCCACTCTCCTTGATTCGAGATTTCTTGCCAAATGACAATAAAATTCGAATACAATGAGAAGAGTATTTATTTATCAATAAAAACATTTCTCTGAAGTATTTCGGAAAGATTATTACACAACTACTAGAAAATGGATACCTCAAGAGGCATTGCAAATGTTTATTTCTGAATTTTGTCAGTCGTATTGTATTCCTATAATCTTTTTCGATATTGGTAGAATAAAAAAAATCACATCTACAAATACTTCACATATTACACTCACTTTCATGGTTCCAGAATTTTGAAAGGTCAGTTCAGATTCTTCTCCATTGAGCATGATGGATACAGTTTGGGCTCCTAGAAGATCTGAAAAAGATGGAAACCTGATGATTATCCAATTATTTCTTCCGAATAAGTTCAATTTTACAAAACACTGAGAGAAATAGTCGGTAGTGAATACCTACGGACCGTTTATTAGAAGAGGTGCCAGCCCCTATACATTCATCAAACAATGCCACTACAAAATAGTACGATACTTATAGTATAGTACGATACATTTCTATGTAGTAGTAGTTATATTTGATATAGAATACTAATATACTATTTTGTAGTGGTATTATTTGATGATTGTAGTGAGTGGCGTCTATTTCACTAAACGTTTGGTATTTACTACTGACTATTTTTTTTCAATGGATGTTGAAAGTTTCTAAACTAGCAATTTTTTATTTTTCAGTAGCGCACAAAAGGTTTCTCTTGTTTATTAGGCTGGTACTGGGAAAATTAGGAAATCAGGTACCTACTTGATTTTTTTTCACATTTGGAGATTATTGCACCCTTATATTATATCGAACAAGAATATCAATATACAAAACTAGAATTCATGGATCTATACAGGGTGAGTCATAACTTCTCTAGTTTTGGATGGAAACGTTATTACAATGCTTTTAAGGACACACACTATGCACATCTTCAAATATGTAGCTGATTTATAATTTATTGAATACCAGACGTAACTTTGTTAGTCATAGATATTCAACTAAGAATAGGAATTTGATATATCTGTGTAATCTCCTTGTTTATAAAACTGTAATATTTTCAGGAAACAATGAATGATTGATTATTGATTGACTACCCATATTACGTAAAAATGACGTTTTTATCATATTTTTTAATCAAAATCACTAAGAATTATCGTCAAATGAAGTTATCGGTCGATTTCATCATCAGGAAACATTCACGTGGCGCCCCCTGTAACAAACTGTAGAATAATATATAAAATAATATTCTCTGCATGAAATTATGCCGCTGTGCCGATTTTGATAACAATTGATGCATATACAGTGAAATTATCAGCCGGAAACAAGCTACTAAATTCAACTTCAACACCATGTGTCTCTTTCCACAGCAATCGTTCATTATATTATCGCCATATTTTGGTCCAAACAAACCAGCCTTAGCCTATGTCCCAATAGTTATGACTCACCCTGTATTTCATAATTTCAACTAACATCAGGCATGATGAATCAATTCGGATTCTATCAATCCAAATCATAATTAAACACAAATACAACTAGTGGTTAATTTGATCTCTGATAATAAGGGAATTTCAATCAATTATGAATGATTCTGTGATTCAAATTAATATATCAATACTGTCAAAGCAGAACTATTACATCTGTTCAGCAATTTGAATGGAAATATAATATTTATGGTGAATAAATGTTTTTGTAAAATGTTCAAATAATAGGTATATGATTTGTTTGTGGAATCATGTATGGAAAACAATCATAGAATTTCCTCGATAGGATACTTAGAATATTATTACATATTCGGTTTGATAGTTAAACACAGGGTGTCCCACAAAGATTAAGACAAGGACTATCTCTCGGAATACGAAAGTAGTACACTGAGAAAAACTGGTTAATTAAAACGTCTAGTTGGTATTTTTTTAGTACCTATAATTAAAAATATTCGGAATTTTATTAACAATGACAACGTATCTGTTCCGACACCATTCCATTATTAGTATAGGTATATATTTAATTAGTTATTTTAAGTTACATTCATATTTATCTTTGAGTCTCAAATCGCGATCATGGTCGTGCTTTTCCATACTAATCTCAAGAAAGAAGAAAATATGGATACGACACGTGGCAACGCTGTAATTTTTTGGGACGGGTCGTCTCGAATCCACCTAGACACTCCAAAATTGATCGCGATCGATATCGATTCGAAATACCAGACAATTCGGTATTCTCTTGCTCATATGAAAATTTCTGCCGGTCTCGCGCGCGAGTGAAAACCTCATCAGTTTCCTCATCAGCTATCTCCTCTTATGTGCACCTGGATTCACGAGTCAGCAAATACTTAGTTCTGCCAGACGTCAGAAGAAACATCGGATCAACCAGGTAGGAAAATCACGGCCTCGTTTTTTTTGTTTATTTGTATTCTCTCTCAAAGCGAATTTTCGCATTGCTCAAATTCAGATTCTCACATCTCACATACAGTCCACTATCATTATCTCCAAAACATTGGCCCTTCGACAGCCGGATAACTTGTAGCGGTTGTAATTGACCTAGTGTAACTACTCGATATATTTTTTTTTTCTTCTCTAGCAATTCGCATTTTACCTCACTCTTCCTCAATACAAGAATCTCATCGGTCGAATCGGTCCCTTTGGTTTGTTTAATAATAATTTATAGTTATTATTATAGAGAAAAGGAAACCTACCGGCCATAGGTGTATCATCATCGTTCATAGTATCGTCGGATTTTCCGAAGTGCATAGACAGCTATACAGCTATAGTTATCTATGCCGAAGTGTTGAGTCCATTTCGTATGAGATAAACAAGTTTTTATTCCGGGAGTTTTTTGTGACACTAAACTATCCATTTGAATACTCTTAAAATAAAACTGTTTTGGTGCTCATTTCTGATAGATTGATTATAATTGATAATAATTTCGAACGTTACTCAGGAATAAATATACAGGGTCTTTTAGATTTGATGGTGATGGGTCAGATTAATTTCATACGTAATTAATAATACGTTGATTTATTGATCAGCTAGACTATACAGGGTGTCGCTTTGACATTTTCGTTAATTCAAAATATTTAATTTGCAATTCCTTTAATTTGTTCATTCATTGAGTATGGCAACCGCAAACAAAATTAAACATCTCAAAGCTCTGCAACAAATGTGTATCGACCGAATGAAAGACTTGTGCACTGTTGCTAATGCCGCTAAGACTTCGTCGGATCTTCATTTGCATCTCAAGGCTAGGTACTTGCATATTGATACCATTTATACTGAATTCGAAACTCACACTAATCAATTACTCCCACTGTTGATTGCTGCCGATTCATATAATGTTGAAGAATCTAGGGAATTGGGTAAACAGTTTTTTCATGATTATTATTCAGCAAAGACAATTTATAGTCAAATATTTGGCAATCTCACACCACATGATGATTCTAATCACTCTCAGTCCAATATGGGTGGTCAATTGAAATTACCCAAAATTGAACTAGTCAAGTTTGATGGAAATTTGAAACATTGGAAAACCTTCATAGATATGTTCAACAGTTTAGTTCATACTCATGATCACTTGAAAAACATTGAAAAATTTAATTATCTCGTCTCATCTCTGATAGGTCCTCCTTTGGCACTCATCAAATGCAACCCTATTACTGATACAAACTACATAATTGCTTATAACTCTCTTGTCAACAGATATGACAATAAACGCCTCTTAGCCACAGCTCATTACCTAGAATTGGAAAACTCTCAAAAACTATCCGAAAATAATGTCAACTCTCAAAATTTAAGAAAATTATGTGACACTTTCACGGAAAATGTTGCGGCGTTGAAAAATTTGCAATTCCCCACGGACGCATGGAGCTTTTTATTATTCAACATGCTTCTTCGACGTCTTGATTCCAACACAGTTTCTAAATTTGAAATTGAGTTTGGGAGTAATGACATTCCAACTTTCGATTCGTTGACGGAATTTGTTCTCAAACATTGCAGTGCACTGGATCGTGCAGCCGAATGTACACAATCAAAATCGCAAAAATTTGAGAGCAGAGTACGTCAACAAGTCTCTGCTCCGGTTGTTCATAGGAGATCACCTTCTTCATTCCATGCCGAAGTTAGACCCATCTCGAATTGTTCCATGTGTGGTGGAAACCATGCAATTTATAAATGCTCCCAGTTCATAGCGTTATCTCCACGTGAGCGATATAACACTGTCAAGTCCCATCGTTGGTGCATTAACTGTCTGGGATCGAAACATGATTTAGCTCATTGCTCATCTCACTCTCTCTGTATCAAATGTGGCATGAAACATCATTCACTGCTTCATTTTAACACTGAAAATTTCCCATCGACAAGTAGATCATCTTTCAGTTCATTTCAACGCCAATCTCCATCCCAACAAACTTCTAACTCTTCTAATGTAACTCAAGGTCAAGCGACCGTGCCTTCAAATGATCATTCATCCTCTAATCAAGTTCACACCTCTCTCTTAGCCTCCTCCGATCAATCAAATGCTGTTAGTTCACATTCTCCTCCTCCCCTTGATTCTGTTCTTTTGGCAACTGCTCAGATAGAAATTTTGGATGAGAGAGGTAACTATCAAACCATTCGAGCTCTTCTCGACTGTGGAAGTCAAATCAACATAATTAGTAATAAATGTTGCAATCGTATGGGACTTCATCTACAAAGAAGGTCTGTATCAATTCAAGGCATTTGCCACATGGATTCTTTCGCTACCAAGACAGTTAATTTTAGGATTCGCTCATGCCACAGTCACTCACACGTTTATAGCGTTGATGCAGTCGTCTTGCCAAAAGTGTGTAACAAAATGCCCAGTTATCCCTTGTCTTCGGGATCTTGGTCCCATATTTCGAACATTCCTCTTGCTGATCCAGGTTTCAGTATTCCCAGTGACGTTGATATCCTCTTGGGTGCTGACATTTGTTCGCAAGTGCTCGAAGGTGGTAGAATTCCTGGAAAAAAAGGAGAACCAGTCGCTTTCAATACTCCTTTCGGGTGGATACTGATGGGAAATGTGAATTCCTCTTCTTCAGAACTTATCCACTCTTTACATTGCTCCTGTGAGTCTCAGGCAGATAAACTCCTCAAAAACTTCTGGGAAATTGAAGAACTGCCCCGAGTTGTGCATTTCTCCAAGGACGAACAATCTTGTGAAGAAATTTATTGTAAAACAACATCCCGAGAAAGTTCAGGTCGATACAAAGTTTCATTACCTTTCAAATCTATTGAATCAGATTTTCCTGATTCTCGCTCCATAGCTCTCAGACGGTTTCTCTCAGTAGAACGGAAATTACTCACAAACTCCCAACTT